GGCGCGGGTGGGATGGTGCCCGCCATGTCGCTCTCAAACGTCGACCTCAGGTTGTCTGGGGGTGTGGTGTCGTCCATTGGGTGTCGAAGGTTGCTCTTCGTACTCCGTCGCTTGTCGCGGGCAAAGATACCAGACTCGTCCGGCTCGTCGTCGAATTTGACGCTGGTTGGTCGCGAGTAGCTGGAGCGTCCGGACGGTTGTTGGGAGTCTAGTATGACGGGTACGTAGTAGCCTTCGCCAGATTGAGGTGACAAAGGAGAGGATGCCAGAGGCGACGTCGGGGGTTTTGGGGTATTCGGCATCTCGTCTCTTAGTCCCATTCCGTTTGCTAATATTCCTTCTAGTGCCAACAATGTGCTTTCGCGCAGATAGGGTCGGATCTCGCGGAGATCCTCGCGTAAATTCGAAGGCGTGTATGAGGTGGCGGTACCACGAGTCCGTGGGCGCGATCGTCTACTAAAATGTCGGTCGGTGCAATCTCGCTCTGTTATTTCTGAATATCTTGGTCCCCACTCGTGGGCTTGGATATGTGCTCTTGCAAAAGCCGTCTCACAGTTGTCGGAGAGATCGGCGATTAGACTTGCGATTAAATTCCGTTCATCGAGCGACATGACGCGGGACGATGCTGCATCCGTGAACGTAAACTCGCTTGATGTCCGGGCTGATACGGGGGCTGCCGGGCCAGGCCCCCTACGGAACAGCGGTACAATTGGTGGGAGCGCCGCCATTTGCCAGTGTCGATATTGATTCTTGCTTATCGGTTCTCGGTCAATGAGTGGGGGGTGGATGCGTTGGATGTGGCTGGCGCCGAAGCTCCGTGAATGCGGACCTCAGCTGTGGGCAACGCGTGCGTGTGCCTTGGGCGTACGTCTTGATATATGGATCAAGAGTTGGATTTCTATCAAAAGTCCTTAAGGGATGAAGCACAGGAATGTGAGCACTCAAGTTTCATGGCATTGTGAAACTGAAATAAGAAGCAGGCGCACACTCCCGTCATCGTCCATGTTCCAAACCCCAAGGATGATTTCTGAGTCCGCAGCACACGAAGAATACGAGCCCGAGGGCAGTAAGACGGCGAGTGTCACCGACGAATGCGATCATTCTCTCCTACACCACTCACATCAGTCAAAAGCATCGGTGTGCCGGTCTCAAAACCACCGATGTTCCACACCTTCACCTATGCGCCACACTCTTAGTCTTTCCGATCGCTGCATTTAGTTATACCTATGAATAGCTCCTCCATCAATTGCTCATTATATCACTTAGTAGTAGTTGGTATTTTGATTACCCTGCATATAGGCAGTTCAGAGACACTCGTGTTCATGTAAGACTATGCAGAATCAGCAGCGGGAATTGAGATGGGGAGCCGGGTGGCGCTGTCGATCATTTTTGGACTTCCGAAACAGGATCTGGGGGACGTGAGCAGCCGAGCCGTGCCTATTTTACGCTGACACGATAGCCAGAGCAAGTGGAGTAACGCTGGATCGTGTTTCGGTGTTTTGGAATGGGGGGTTGGGTAGTGGTGAAGAGAGTGGTCGTCATGAAGGAGGTTGATTAGCGTGCCGAGAACCGCAGTCAGTGGGACTGATTCTACACCTGCCTGTACTCAAGTGTTTTGGGTCTGTTTGCTTGTTGGGCTAGGAATGCGCTCTGAACATTCTAGAATTTTAAGAGTTTGGGTTGAGCACGTTGAGATCGTTACCTAGGAAATGTAGGTGGCATGTGAAGAATCCATATACAGCTGCCGCCTACAGAGCATCACGTCCAGTAACTTTCTCCACAAGAGCACCGACCCCAACCTCATCATATCTACCTGCCATGCCAGACTACTCTTCAACGTAGATGAGAGTTGAGGAGGCAGGTAGACATGGTTTTCAGTACTATTGGAGCCCATATTCACGAGACGTATTCTTCACGTGATCAACACTAGTCTTCTGGCTACCACGCACATCAATGAACGTTGCGTCCTCCTAACTTGGACCGATTTCGGAACAACTACGACTAGTTTGCCGTATCATCCGCGCAGTTCTGGGTACTTACTTAGCTACCCAATGAAAAAGCATAATGTACACCAGCCCCAGAGTGTCCAAAAGAGTTCGCCCAAAGAGGCCCGGCCCACAAAAAGTAACCCATTGAGACAAAAATACTTGGTGGTTTTGTCTGTGTACAATAGGGGTTGATGTACCACTTCATGGCCGGTACACTGATCGAGTTGCCTGTGCGCATGAAACGAGTACTTGGTGGTCGCGAGAGCACATGATGAAAAGGCGAGTTGGCTGTGACAATGGATAAATGAATATCAGGACTGCCGTTCATGCAGAGTCATAGATTTTACGGTAAGCTATGAGAGTAGACGCAACGGTTTGATCGAAAGCCGTATGTCCCTGCAAGCGGCAGTGTGGAGATGGTTCGCCGTTGGAAGGAGCATGCATGACTGCGTCACTTCTCCTCTTGGCACATAGAGTAACTTGGTTTTCGTCCAAGAAATGGTAAGAGCTATCGTCTCTGTGCATACAAGTGTTTACATGGCTGGTACTAGAAACTATTGAATATGCACATTAGCCGTTTTCTTCGAAGATGAAGGCTGGCATCTGTATGATCATCAAATCAAGGAAATAACGTCCTATATGTAAGATAATGCCACCTGTAAGATAATTGACGATGACAGTGATACATCTCTTCTTATCTCTGGTTATTTTGAATATCTCACAAGCGGTGAGGTTGTAACATAGAAGAGATCATACCATTTGTTAGAGGGTGCACATAGTCGGAATCAGCCAATCAGGTGTGAGAATATCGGTTGGGAAGGGAAGTAAAGAAGTCATTTGGCGAATGAATAGATTTTGCCTGTCATGGAATGGATGTCTATGACCTACAGTGAAAAGCCTTGTACTTGTAGTACTCTAGTGCGCAATCAATAAGCCGAGTGCTGTGCACAACCTCGTGCATCAGAACAACAGCGATTAGTTTTAGAGAATTCTCTAAAACTTCGAAAAAGAATTCGTTCTTTTATCTGAGTTGTAGAATAAGCAATCTACCAGATCTTCCTCGATCTCATCGACTCAAACAATAGATGTATGATGTTTCATGATAGCATACTTCTGCGTTGATTGAAACACTCAGATATGAAAATTGCAACAACTTATGCAGTAGTATGTATTGAATCGCTATCTTACTGGATTGCTGATTTCAAACATTCCATGTAACTAAAATCTTACATAATACGCAGAGCTGTAAATCTGGTTGAAAACCAAAAGGAAAAATACCAGGCATTAACAAAACAATCTGCGTCACATCTCTTTCTAATATATCCGCAGTCGAACAACAAGAGATTTTTAGTTTTTCAAGGGAGTGTATCGTATTCGAGTGAAAGCTTAGCGCACAATCGTTATACTGCTGGTCATTGCAGTTTACTAAGAGTGTGAAGTATGGGTGTTTATTCATAGCCTCGACGAAAACCTCGTATAGAACTACATTTGTTGAACCTGTTTCGAATTGAAAGCATACAAAAGCTCTGATGATGGAACCTGTACAAAGGTTTTGAGGAGAAATATTACGCTGGTGACGGCTCGGATATAATTCTTGAGGAATTACTTGGTATCTTTGCTAGCTGGTACTCATGCTCGCATACAATTCGCTGTAACACGCACAGTAGCCAAAACACAAAATGCGCACACCATTCGTTGGTTATCAGCATCAATGTCAGCTGAATGGCTTACCAGAATATTGTCTTCCGTATACTCACATGTGATACTAGAATACATTGCCTTTCACGAGCGTAAACGCACACGAAGCTAAGTGCCGGTGAAGCCGAGTACAAACACTACACCTGGCATATCAGGCTTTTTCACGACACATCGCAAGTGGCCTCATTTTCGGGTTCGTGTTTTCTTCACAATTTGTATTGATTGCGCATAGTAGTATTGACATGTGCGATTCAAATACGTAGCACATACGTAGAAGGCGTCGCGCTTCTAGCTTCGCTACCGCGTCGCGATTACAACAGCGCCGACGCCGATCCCTCACATGTCTCTTCTCCACATCCCCCACTGCACCTCGCAGATCTTACCTACTCGCCCCCATACCTAGAAGTCAGCATTCCAAAATTGAGCATCACCAATCCATTTTGGGAGAAATTTTCGGGCATACAGCCACGAGCCGCTGATCAGATCTACACCTAAACCCAGCAATCATACTTTGGCGACACCGCACTAGCCCCCACCTTGAAAGCTGAATCTTACCACAGCCGTTGAAGACCGTTGCGACCAGACCGAGCTGGAATTGAAAGTTTGCGACGTGTCAATTGAACTTATGGATCGACGTATAGGCAATTGCATGAACGTTGAAAATCAGATGTTGTCCATGTGCGAACATAAGTTCACCCCGCAAATGTCCTATTGCTTTTTCCTTGGCTACGACTATGATTTGGGGGGCTGAGAATACGTGAGCGGTCTTACTTCATAGATTCTAGCTTCTTCACCCATGCAAAACTCTGCACTTTCAGCTGAAATTTGAAATTTCCAGGAAAAAATATTCGAGGAAAGGGGGTTTGAGCACATGGATTATATGTGTGGAGTAATATGGATGGATTGAAGTATCAAATGAGGGATATATCGAAAACCACAAGACACTTAGCAGCGGGGTTGCGGAAAGTTACCACGATATGTTCTGTAGATCAAAGACCTGCTCCAGCCCGTTCGAGCCTGCAAGTAGGGGTGAAGAACGAATAGGGTCTTGCCAAAGGGAAAATTTGAAAGCTGTCGCAGTATCAAACAACGGGCGATGCGGTCATATCCTGCTGCTGCGTCATATCCCTCGTCTCGGTGCGCAATCGTCATCCAAATGCTCCCGTCTCCATCGTCGACAATTAAAAGCCCAAAGTGTAGCCTCCCAATTTCGTTGTAGCAATGAACTCAATGCTCCTGTCCAAAGTCATACAATTCACTCTTCACGCCCACAAATAGCCTCACCAACCTCAAAAAGGAGGATTGAAAGCCATCATGCCCCTGAAAAACCTCCTTCCGTTTCACAAAAACGACATCCTACCACCCCAATCCCATCCTGAAGCCCCTCAGAATGAACCCAAGGACTCTCACCCCAGCAATTCCCATGGCAGGCACCACATAGAATCCATTACACACGGCCACAAGGGCACCAGAGTCCGCACAACGCTCATCTCACACAACTGGCACAACCGCTCTGTAGCCGCACTAGCAGAGTTCGCAGGCACATTCATGTTCCTCTTCTTTGCCTTTGGCGGCACCAGCGTCGCGAACAACAGTAACCAAGCCAACCGATCCGATTCCAACACAAACTCCGACGATATTCTCCAGGTACCTGACACGAGCGTGTTGCTGTACATTAGCTTGGTGTTTGGATTCAGTCTAATGATCAATGTGTGGTGTTTCTTCAGAGTCAGTGGGGGGTTGTTTAATCCTGCTGTAAGTCTTGCCCCCCTTATTTCACTCGCTGTAATCTCCAAGCGAAGTCAACACGAGACTTGAGTTTCTTCGGCTGATGACTTTTGTTTTGCTGCTGCAAAGGTAACGCTAGGTCTCTACCTTATCGGCAGCGTGCCTCTTCCCCGGGCAATCATGTGCTTCGTAGCGCAAGTGCTTGCCGGTATTGCGGCTGCAGGCGTTGTTCACGCCATTTTGCCAGGTCCCTTATCCGTAAGCACGACGCTGAGCGCCGGCATATCTCCCGCTCGCGGTGTCTTCCTCGAAATGTTCTTAACCTCCTTACTTGTCTTTACTGTCTTCATGCTTGCCGCCGAAAAGCACAAGGCGACGTTTCTTGCCCCTGTTGGAATTGGCATGGCATTGTTCGTTGCGGAGATGCTCGGTGTCTTTTTCACAGGCGGCAGCCTGAATCCCGCGCGTAGCTTTGGACCTTGCGTCGTCACGGGCGATTTCCCTAGTTACCATTATATCTACTGGTTTGGGCCGATCATGGGATCGCTGCTGGCATGTGGGGTATACAAGGTTGTCAAGGCTGTCGATTACGAGACTGTGAATCCGGGGCAGGACTTTGATGACCATGAGGCAGCGGCGTTTCAGTGTCCGGATAATCCGCATAGTCGTCATCAGGTTCGGAGGCCGATTGTCACGAAGGACCTTATGCGCCGGGGGACGCATGAGTCGGAGGAGTCGGAGGGGGAGAAGAATATTGAGAGGATGGATACGAATCAAACCCGGGTTTGAGAAGGGAGTCTACGAAATGGGATGTATTGGGAGATGTAGATAATAATTTGAGTCGGGTCTGGGATGCGACAAGTTCATAGCATACAAAAAAGCGGTCTTTTCTTGATGCATGATTGTGCATTCCCCAGTGTGGCTGCTGTGTGCGTGTCAGAAACCATGCGAATACGTGCACTATAGGAACTACAAATATGAAAGTAGCCAGCAAGGATGCTAGGATAGCGAGACAAAAGTACATCTGATATGAAGCCATCCTTTTTTCTATGCCTCTGCTTCATTCTTGGGAATCATCGATTGCAAGAGATGGAATCTCCTGAATTGAAACGTTTTGCGTCATTGAAAGTAGAGGATTTGTAGGTGATTAATGTTTTGGTCAGTGCATATATGTGCCGGCCATCATTTGCAGATGCGCTTGTCATTGTCATCGCTGTCGGAAAGAAACAGCTGTCCTGTCATACAGCTTGCTTCCACCACTATTCCGGGTTGTATACGTGGTCTAGAAGGCAAAATGCGATGATTGTCTTTCCCGATTATCTTGTATATCCCCCCGTTGCAGAAACGGAGAGTTCCAAGTATCCTCTCCGACCCCTTCCACCCTGCTGCATCTCCTTTTTCCTTCAGGTTTCAGTGTCAGTAATCTCGTCGGCGACGTCGCTTGGATCTGGATCTCTTCCGGCTCCACTTCGCTCGTTCCGGTTCGACTATCCGCACCACTCGTCGCCTCTTATCCACTCTTCGAACCTGGTTATTGCGGCGCCGTGGCCGTCCCGCACGGTCATAAGCGACATCATAAGGGTGGTGTCCGTTGGTATAGCGGGGATCAGCTTCCTGTTGTAACTGTTAAGCGGCGCGGAGAGAAAGGGGGCGGTTTGAAGGAAGTAGGGGAGTTGTACGTTGATGATAGGTAGACATATCGCTAGAAGGCAGGCCATGAAGAAAAGGCTCATCTTGAACCAGTTCGTTTTGATTACGGAGATCGATGGGATGCAAATTGGTAGGGGCCTCGTAAGCTTAGAAAACCAACAAGAATTGTATGTAGACTGTGTTGGCAATAGTGTGTTGATATTCCAGAGGATGCGATGAGGGGAGATTCATGTCTCGCTGCCCGATTGACAAACCTTATTCATGGGGAGAAGAGTACAGCTGTCATCGACAGACAATCTGGGTGGTGTGACGGGCAGTAACTTCTGTAGCGGAAGGTATGGCAGTGCGCACCCGATAGCTAGGTCACTGGCGTCACTTCCTGATGAATACATTTCGAACACATAGGAAACACATCAATCAAGTCGTGAAGAGATCCGGCATCTGAGCATAAGGGTAGGCGCGTAGCCAGAAAAATCCTATCGAGCCAGGATTTTTCCGAAGACAAGGAAAGGTATCATGTGGATAGGCAGTTCATGCATGCTGAAGGAGAAAAGGCGATGTTGGGTATTTATGCCGAGTTCCAGATCATCACTAGTGTTGCATCTCATCATGGTCCACCTCGTCAGGCTCAATCTCTGCAGTATCGCCCTCCTCATACCCCTCACCTTCTTCATCGTCCTCACTGTCCGATCCCGATCCCTCGCTCTCGCCCTCACTCCCTGGATCAAAATCGTCATCCTCTTCTTCGTCGTCTTCCTGTTCCTGTAATTCCCTCTCTGCCTTTTGTAACTCGCTCTCCTCTTCTTCCGCAGCCCCTTCAGCCTCAGCGGTATTGGCAGCGTCCTTCTTGCCGCCAATCTTGTTCACATTAAGCTTCTTAGCACGTCGGTCGGCTGCCAAACTAGCATCCTGAAGACCGTGCTTCTGCACATATTCATTTATGCCGGCAAAGTCTGCTTGGTCAAGCATACCGAATTCGATATCACCGGTGGGTGTGGTGATGACGAGATTGAACGTATTGCGAAGGACGGCGGTGTAGGATATGCTGGTTATGGCGGCGAAGTCGAAGAAGGCGAGGGGCTTTTTAAAGCCGTTGAGAATACCCACAGAGGTGAAGAACAGATAGCCTAGCCAGTGTCAATAGGTGTAACGCGCGGAAATAACGGGAAGCAGTATCGCACCTTCTTTACTTCCTCGGTGTGCCTTTACGTGGTATGCCTTCTCGCCCTTTCTATGGCTCTCCGGGATCGCGCTTGCGAATTCATCTGAATCGGGAAAGACGACATGCTTTCCTGTGCCTGCTTGTATCAGGCAGTGGTGTATTGCGTCGGCCATTGCAGTTGGCCCTGGGTCCTCGCCTTCTACAATGTTCTTTCCCGTAGCTTCCTCAAACGTCCACACGATTGGCTCTGGCGGTGAGGCTTTTAGCTCTTCAGGTATGGGGGCAACACCGTCTCCATGTAGTGGTATAATGACAAAGTTGTGCTGCTTCTTCGCCTTTTCAGGAATAGGCAGGCAGAAAACCTGGTCAACATCTTTCCACGCAATTGAAAACTCGACATTTCCGCTCGCACCAATCGCCCGTATGCCACCGTCCTTCTTGTCCAGTAACTCGAGGGTGAATTTCTTGCGCTGCGGTATCGAGAAGCTAACACTAGCGTATGTCTTGAATGCTGGGGTTGCAGCACTTGTGAGGCTGCCCCCAGTTGCGGATGGGGCCTTCTGCACGCTGTTGCTCTCCTCAATCTTGCGCTTCTTAGTCGCTGGTTCAGCGGCAGGTTGCGAGGTTTGATTGAGGATATATGTTGAAATGTCGCGAAACAATGTACTTTGTGCTGGATATTGATCTACCTCGTATGTTCAATTGCAATTCAATGCATTCTTTGAAAAGAAACATACCTATGGCGGCGTGTACGCGCTTCCGCAGCTCGTGATTACTAGCAAAGGCGACATCGATTTCTTGGGGATGCGGCGCACGTGTCGGTACCGAAGCCGGGGCCGGTTCTGACACTGGCGCAGGGGCTTGTACAGGCACGACGGGTGCTGACGGGCGGTTGTTGAGTGCTGTAAAAGCCATGGTGGGTGTTGAGAATTATTGTTGTTGAAGAAAGGACGTCGTGTGAACGCGTCGTTGGTTTCTCGCGACTTGCACACAATTAGCGCTCGGCTGTCTACTACATGTGACATCACCCATCAGGTGCACGGTCATCCCAACGTCTGACCGACATTATTCGGCTTCACAGTAGGATAGCTGTAGGACGCGGCCTACTATGTACTTATCCAGCATGACACTTCTCATGTCCAGATCAATGACCCTTACTTTGTACAGCTGCAACTAAGCGTGCACCCCACCCGGCACAGCGAATGGACATGACAAATTCTCCATTCACGCAGCTCTCGCACATGTAGATATTAACAGTGTTTATGATATCACGCGTATGTGCGTGTTCTGAGTTCTAATAAAGCATAAGGATATATCTCGCTACAAGAAACCGAAGCGGGTTCAATCGAGAAGCGATACAATACCCCGGCCAAACAGCATCCTCACCGATCTGATTTGTAGCAGAACCTGAGGCATGATTCAGCATTGGCATTATGCTTAACGTTGTCGCTACATGGCAATTAGAGCCTAGCTTCAGAATGTGTGCAGCCATTGTCCAGGCGCGTGCGTCATTCTCAAATAATTAACAGACAATATTTACGAGGCACGGTGGTATTATCAATCATTGCATCCCAATTCATTTGCGACGAGGGGTACGTATCCAATCTCATGCGGAGTACTAAAAAGAAGTGGCGCCAAAATGCTTCGCGTATCAATCCCGTCTGTCTCTGCCTTATGTATGGACACAAAAATAAATACGCATTCAGCTTAATTGCCCGTGTTATTGCGACGTGAGAGAACCATCGTGGGTTCAGTCTGGGGACAGTGCACGTTGCGCATCTCACACACTTGTTGTCACGAACCTCCCAAACAGCCAATACAAAACCACAACAAGTGTTTGACACCTGTCATTGCATTACCAAGTACACAAAAATTGCCGGATGCATACCAGACCGTTCAGGCAACACCTTGACAGAGGCCTCAGACCAGCCATATGCTGGCATAGCAGCATTGACAGCTAAGCTCGAATAGAGGGTAATGATAGCATGAGGTACGGCACGGGTGCCTGACGTGGCATTTGTGTTGTTCTGTTTTCCAGATGGATTTTGGATAATATCTAACTTGACCGTATCGCATGCCGTCTCCCGAGCCGTCCCAATCTTTCATTCCTTTTATTCTGCAGTACCTGATTGGTAGCCGACTGATGTCTACATAGTCGCCACACGGCAAGACTTGCTTCAAATTTCTTTCCAGAAGTGAGCCATTACAACCGGACCGACCAAAAGTAGACCTTAGGGGTTACCCTTAACGACGAGTCAAGATCAGAAAATGGCCGACACAAAAAAGTCCAAATTCAGTCTGCCACCATTAATCGCCAAAGTCCAGTCTCTACTCCCTCGGAAACAAGATGACTCGCCCATGTTCAACCATCCATTCGATACGAACTCATGTCCACATCACCGGATAGCACGAAAAATCTATGGCGCCTCTCTCCTCGCTCTCTTCATCACAGCCATACTCGTCATGACGCTCAAGGCAATCACATACAGTTTCGTTGAAGACAACCGCATGACCGGCTTCGTATTCGACCCAGACACCACCAGCAGCACGAACGGAAACATCATCATGGCCGCCTTACCACGAATGCTCCACACCCTACCAACCAAACTCGCCATCATCATCGCAGCCATCAGCCTCTCCCTCGCCACAGGCCACTTAGCCCTCGTAATCATCGACTGGAAGAGCGGGAAAAGGGTACGTCATTGACCCTTCCCCAAAAACCTCATCCAAAAATAGCTAACGTTCTCATAAGACTCAATCGAATGCCTTCCGCCGCAACACAATGTTCATCCACATCGTCAACGCCATCCTTGTCCTCTTCGCCCTCGTCGCAATCTACACCACCCACACAAACTCCTCTACCTACCGCCCCACCTACATTTCCGAACTCACTGCCAACTCTACCTCCACCACTCCAACCATCGCCAGCCCATCTGACCCCGTCTTCCGCTACGACCGCGGCACTTTCGACCTCGAAACCTGGGCTTGCTCACTCAAAAGCGTCGAAGGCGCGGGCATGGTTCGCGATGACTACGCTAAGCAGTGTTCGATTGAGACGGCGGGACGGGCAGTTATGGTGCCGTTTCTCATTGCGGCATGGATTGTTGCGGGGGTCAGTGTGTGGGGGTTTGTAGGGGGTGGACGGAGGGGGCCGAATGGGGAGAGAATGAGTACGGATGAGGTGGGGGTGGAGATGGGGAAGATGAATGCGACGGATGAGTAAGAAGACTAAAGCAACAAACGAGTAGTTGAGGTTTGGTTTGGGGCGTTTTGCATTGCGGGAGTTTTTGGGGGGACATTTAGCGAGGCGCTGGGCGCTGGGACATGGGCACTGAGGAATGGTCAATGGTTGATCACGTACATGTGGTTTGGAATAAGATAATAGTTAATGATTTTCTAATTTTTTTTACCGTTACTATGAGTGATGGGTGTGGGGTAGACGGTGTGCTACGATCAATGCTACTCTCTTTGGCCTGGGAAAGTCAGCTACATGGTCTTTGTCTTGAGAACTTCCAGGCTGCATGGTCTTTACTCTGAGACGGTCAGAACTTCATGGTATGTCCCTGCCTTACAGTGTAGTTCCTACTGCATTTTGATGAAGTTGAATCATATGGCTGTCGGAATCAGACCAGGCGTCTAAGCAGCGTGACGACGTCCTGGACGTGCATCATCCATCAGCTGCTCAACAGTCCACTCACGGTCTTCTGTGAGATCTTCCATCTCATCCCAGTGTTCACCTACTTCCTCCGGGTCAGGCTTGATCATATTCATCACGTCTTCGTCCTCTAAGTCGTCCTCTGAGGTTTCGAGCTTCTTAGAAATGGGTGTGGGCGTATGAATAGATGGATGAACTCCTAGGGTGGTAGCATGCTTGTCCTGGGCGATAGCATGCTTGAATTGAGTGAGAGCGTACTTGACCTGGACGGGAGCATGCATAACTGGGGTGGAAGATTGCTTCACCTGGGTATCTGGGTGACTAGCGCGAGTAGGGATTTGGGCAGTTTTGTAGGGGTTGGGGTGCTTGAAGAGCTTGAGGTTGGTTAGGGAAGGCATCTTCTTGTGTAATTGGTTCAGAGTTGGATTTGGGGTTAGTAGTTTAGTTTTGGGCTCGGATTTGCAGATCTTGTGGGCAAAAATTGGAAGGATATAAGAAGGGAGCTCTTGCGAGCACTGTGGAGTATCTGTGTGCGTTGTAATAGTCACAATGCTGGCCAGCACTGTACGACAGGAGGTTCCTGTGCCACAGTGAATTCTTGCTCTTGGATTCATGAATTTTAGGAAACAATAACCCTCCCAGCACACTGTGTGTTATGTTGCGAGGGCCTCTTTTCGGGTAAGCGGTAGAGTATGCACAATAGAACAGTCTTACACCTTCGACGGGTTTGATGACAGATGGGCAGGGGTTCAAACGGAACCTAGCCGTTCAGTTAATATATCGGATTTTTGCACTTGCCTCGAAAGACCCTCAAGTACATTTTACTCATGGCCTCAAGATACGTCTCGGTCGTTCCAGTGTGAGTCGTTCTTACTCAGAGCTTTGATGAAAGAGATAAGTGGCAATGATCTTTGGCGATTTCCATCTGAGATTCTGTCAAGCAATCTAGGATTTGAATAACTTTATATATGTCTCAGACACATGAAATTGCCCATATGGATCTCCTGAACTTCCCACTACACTCAGAAATGCAACTTAGGCGACGCCATTCTGTCGACCACAAATAGGGGCATGAATATGGGTATTCTCGAACATGAAACAGAGGACATCGAGTTATAGTCTAGTTGAGGTCGCATAGCATATTAATTCGAGACTGGATGCCTACATGGATGCACGTACTATCCTGTACCGGTTGTGGACGAAAGACCGACGCAGCTCGTCCGGGTGGGCGTTCGGGGAAGGGACGCACTATTCCTAATCTAGACTAGCGGTCCGACAGGGGTCTCGTGTTCTTGAGACCGATGTAATAAGTCGGGGATGACGGTTCCACGCTGGCCAAAGGTACGAATCTCCCGAGTTTTGACAATGCCACGATGAGCGAAAGCCAAAAGCTCCTGCATGAGCATCCTTCAGACAGTGACTCTGAATTAGGACCCGAAATCAAACCAAGTCCGCGACATTTATCGCCATCGCCTTCATCGTCGCGAGCTACGTCCACCTCCCCAGCGCCCCCAGGGTCACGTCCAAATGGCGGGATCAAGCGGCAATCGTCCTTTGCACAACATCGCCCAGATGGCACTCCGAGAACCCCGAACCGCGTCCGTTTCGAAGAGCCGAGGAGGAGCATGAATGGACATGCAAACGGCAGCGCCGACTGGGTAGAGTTGGACGGAGATGATTACATGAATGACGGAGAGGGGCAGGAGACACAGCGGCTGCCTCTGCTCACTGGTATCGAGGCGCCGAGTGTCACGGTGGCCGAGCAGAACTTCAACCCAGAAGACCACCTGGAGAGCGCACGGCCACGCAGCGGAATGCGAAGCGCATTCATGAATATGGCCAACAGTATAATGTGAGGCATGCACTGAGAACAATGGATGAAAGAACACTGGCTAATCTGGAGTAGAGGGGCTGGTATCATTGGCCAACCGTACGCTATCCGCAATGCCGGCCTGTTGACAGGAACCGCTCTGCTCATCGGCCTCACAATCATCGTAGACTGGACAATTCGACTCATTGTCATAAACTCGAAGCTCAGCGGGACGGATTCTTTCCAGGCGACGGTACAACACTGCTTTGGGAAATCCGGGCTCGTGGCTATATCCCTCGCGCAATGGCTCTTGTACGTCAGTTCTGTGATATCTGGAAGCACATGTATTGACAGCATACAGCGCCTTTGGCGGCATGGTAGCCTTCTGCGTTATTGTCGGTGACACGATACCAAAGGTTTTGGATTCAATGTTTCCTTCTCTAGAAGACATGTCCTTCCTATGGCTACTTACCAACAGAAGAGCTGTCATGATTCTGCTCATTCTCGGCATATCGTTTCCCCTGTCGCTCTACCGTGACATTTCAAAGGTAGCTTCATTACCGAGCAAGAGAATGCACACACTAATCCGTTTGCAGCTTGCCAAAGCCAGTGGCTTCGCCTTGGTCAGCATGACCGTCATTATTGTGACTGTTGTTACACAATCCTTCCGCGTTCCTGCTGAGGCCAGGGGCCAACTACGCGGCTCCCTCATTATCCGCTCGGGCATCTTCGAGTCCATAGGCGTCATTGCTTTTGCTTTTGTCTGCCACCACAACAGCCTCCTCATCTACGGCTCCCTGCGCAAGCCGACTATCGATCGTTTCTCCCGCGTCACACACTATAGCACTGGCATATCCCTTGTCGCATGTCTTGTCATGGCACTGTCAGGTTACCTGACCTTTGGTGACAAGACGCTCGGCAATGTGCTCAACAATTTCCCCAACGATAATCTCATGGTCAACATTGCACGTCTGTTCTTCGGCCTCAACATGCTTACCACACTTCCACTGGAAGCTTTTGTCTGCCGAGAAGTAATGAACAATTACTGGTTCCCCGATGAACACTACAACCCCAACCGCCACATAATCTTCACTAGTTCGCTTGTGATTTCTGCTCTCACGCTCTCCCTTCTCACCTGCGACATTGGCGTTGTTTTTGAGTTGTTTGGCGCAACATCTGCTTGCGCGCTCGCATTCATTCTCCCACCTCTCTGCTACATCAAACTGTCGCAAAAAAGCACAATGACATACGTAGCTGGCGCTGTAGTGGCATTTGGATGCACTGTTATGGTCATTAGCATCCTCAAGACTACGAGCAAGCTCGTGGTTGGTCAAAGTGACCATGCGCAATGTGGGTAATCTGATCTTTTGTCGTAACATGGACCGGTTGCATTGGGCGGCGTCTCGAGTAAAAAAATGGTATACATGGGCGCGCGAGCGCAAGAATCTGGCAGCTTACCACTGTTCATTATAGAGGAATAACAACATTATCAAAGTATCATGTTTCCATCTTGCATCACCAGTTTGGCGCTGTGCACGCCTGACCCACAGGATTTCCATCGGGCCGTTTCCATGGCCCTCGCCTGTGTAACAAACAAGCTTGCCTTCTCAATAACGGCTATATCGGCACCAAAATGCTTTCAAAACCTTGTTCATGAAGTTCAATCAAGCTCTTTAGCCCACTCTCAGACCCGGGGTGTCAAGGGTCTCTCGCCGTTGTATCCGGCACATGTCCCTGTTTCTGACCCACCTTTACATTCAACACCAACGCTAACAAACCATCCAACTAACATCTCTATACTGCATCAAACCGTCACGCCCCTTTTCTGTTGTTTTGCAATGAGCGCGGCACACAGCGCGATGACGATAGTGGCGGTCGCAGCATGTGTGCTGTAAGCGGGCCTTTTTGGCTGATCACAACTTCTTTGGGGCGGGCTGTGACGTCGATGTCGCCAGCCTGAACCCTGCTTCTCTGCACAACGGGATGGTAGATTGGGGTCATACACGGGAAGCAACGACGATATGACGGGGTGGAAAGCGCGAATCGCATATAAGAAGTCAATTGCGAATATCCAATTTTCCTTTCTCGTCCCCATCTATTCTCAGTCCTCTACCATAAACAACAAAGGCAATCTATCCCTATCCAGCCTACTCCAAAATCACTATACAAGAAGTCTAGCAATACCTCCCAAAGGAAATAATATTACCAAAAATGCCACTCTTCGGATCCCGCCGCGAGCCCTCGCCTCCCCCTGCCCCAGCTCCAACTCAGAAATCCGGGCTCTTCTCTCGTCGTCGCTCCTCCTCTCCCCACGCAGCTACTACAACCACGCACCACCACCGCCACAGCAGCTCGGCCTCGCGCTCCGGCACATCAAACAACAACACCATTTCCTCTGGCTTCTTCAGCAAGTCATCTCATGGAGACCCCAGCATCGTCAATGCAAAGCAGAGTCTAGCGAATGCCGAGGCGGCAGAGCGAGAGGCGGATCGGGCGTTGGCGGTTGCGAGGAGTGCGGTTAGGGAGGCACGCGAGCATGTTGCTAGGTTGGAGAGGGAGGCTGCTGAAGAGTAAGTTTTCCTTTTCTTTTATACTATATTACTGGTTGTCTGGGAGAGCAAAAGACTGACGAGTCATACAGGGCACGACTAGCTAAGATCAAGAAGGCCGAGGCGAAGACGCTCGGTAAGATGGGCAAGAAGTTGGGCAGGCATGACCATGTTTGAGTGTATGCAACTTGAGGTTGGGAAGGATGAGACTGGCTGGATGTCGGAGCGACGGCGTCCAGCTGCTATGATATGTGTGAAAGCGAGGAGTTTGGAGTGGTTTTGTTGGCATTGACTTCGCTAGCGCTTGTGTAATACCCCCGAGTCATTCCTAACTCTTATGAATGTTATGAGTTTCATGATATTGGTATCTGGTTCATTATGAGTGTTTTGAGGATACGTTAATTGACTGTCTTGAATGAACACCGAGACTTTGCCTACTCAATCCCTTAGACATATCATCTAAGCAAAAAGAATCATAAATACATCACTTGCACACATCCTACAAGCACACACGATCTTAAACAGTTTTTCATCGCATTTCAAATTATCTTTAGCATATCCAAGAAGAAAACCAGCCATCCCCACTCAACGGGTATTCAACGCAGCCTTATCCCCCATTCCAACAAAAGGAAAAAAAAGTAGAAAATAAAAGAGAGGGAGGAAGGAAAGATATCGTATACAAAAGCTCGTACAAAAACAGACAAAGAAAGAGAGTGTCCAAAGAACCCCCCTGATTACGATTAAACACCTAAACAAAAAGGTTCCTGGCATACTACCCAATTTCCAGGTCCTGTTTTTTTGTTTTTAATACGAGGGCCCACTGCTGGCAGAAGGCCTAACAACCGTCCGCAAGGTACACGGCGAATCGGCACCCGGGTTGCCATACGAACCTCCTTTAACTCCATACACACCTGCACCATAGGAGCCCCCGTAGGAACCCCCATACGACCCACCAGCACCAGAACCAGCACCCGAACACGGTACCGCGGATCCCGTAGGCGCAGCAGGTGTGTTGGTAGTCGAGTACACGGGCCCGTTTGTGAATTCACCGGGTAGACCCGGGAGGACGTGAGTGAAGGCTGGGGCCATGATGGGGTCGAAAGAGAGGGAGGCGGGGACGTAGACGGATTCGTAAGGGCGGGGTTTGTTGTCGTTGATTGGGATTGGCGATGGGGTTGGTTTGGGGGCTGGTGGTGGGGTGGAGTCCGGGTTGAAGAGAGAGAAAGAGAGTGTGGGGACTGGTGGGGCGTTGTGGTGAGCTGGTGTTGAAGCCGCGGGGGGTGCGGGGGCTGGAGCTGAGGGAGTGTTGTACGCTGGTGGTGGGGTAGGTGAAGATGGCTTAGATGGTTCAGCAGGGGTGGATGGTTCCGAAGGCTTGGGTGGTTCAGCAGGCTGGTATGGCTCAGCGGGCTTGTATGGCTCAGCAGGCTCAGGTGACGAGACAGGCTTCGATGGCGAAGAGGGCTTGAGTGGTGCATCTGAATTGGATGGTGTAGAAGCTTTGCCTTGGCAAGATGACATGCATGCGAAGCTGATGGCATTGGTCGTCTTTCGGTCAGCAACAGGACCATTGAGGGACCAGTTCATATCAACATAAGGCCAGCAGATACGGCCATCGGGCATGGTGACCATGTCTCCGGCAACATACACATCCATAGACTTGACCGGCTCTCCAACCTTCTTGCCATCCTTGACAAGCTGGAAGTAAGTGCCTGAGAATTCACCCTCACAGCCCATAGCTGGGAAGTTGCAAGTTGGCTCAGCAATCTCCTCCCATGTGACGAGTGCGTTGGAACCATCAAAAGTGGCTACGCGGGCATTCTGACAATCAGAAGAACCGGTTGTGATCCAGTTAACGTGCGAGTCGCCGTCGGGTCCAGGCTGGTTAGTGGCTTGCTTGCCGACCATGGTCTTCTTGTCGGAGAAGGTAGCGATAGCGACGTTACGGTTCTTGGTACGGTATGAGGAGGTCGTGTATCCTGCGCCCAGTTGCTTGTTCTCGGTCAAATCTTTGGAGCCGCGTGACACCCAGGTGAAGATGTACGAGTCCTTGTTGATGAAGCGGGTAAGACTGCTGTAGGATCCAGAGATGCCTCCCATGGGCTCGTTTGAAGCACCGTTCCTCGCGTATTCGTTTGAGACCTTCACACCAGTCTTTTCCATTCCAGTACCACCTGTGTTAAGCCAAATTCCGCCCTGGTCGTCAGCGCAAACACTAGCAAAGGGTGCCGAGGCAGAAGCCTCGAGTGCAATGCCAGTGTTGAAGGAGCAGCCCCAGTTTTTAGTCGCGCCCTCAATCTTCTCAATAGTGCCGTTGTCGCTGATGTATTGCATAGAATCGCCAAAGTGACCCTGTGCAGGGCCATCGTAACTAGCGACAACAAAATAGGCTCCATACATGCCAGTTTCCTGGGAATAAGCAAGATCACCATTCAGATATGGTGAACATGTTGCGCCTGCCTCACCGACATTGTCTGGGCCACCAAGGAATCTCTTAAAGACCCGCTTGCCACGAGTCCAACGGTATAGTACAGCTACCGGATCTCTTTTAGGAGGTGCTTTTTGTGTTCCGACGTCCATAGGTTCGTTGGTAAGAAGGGCGAATCCGTCATTATGAGCGACCAAACCGCCGGCTTCCTTTGCGCAACTCACCGTCACAGCATCTCCGACAGCCTTGAAGGTAACAGGATCAACCTTCTGTACATGAACTCCCTTTCCTGACGCCCCAAGGTATGCGAGATATGCCGACTTTCCATCCGGTGAGACCGCAAAAGGCGTGCGGTGGTGGTGTGGCAGTCCAGTGCGGTAGTCATCCTTGATTGGCGAGAAAGGAATCGAAAGCTCTAGGCTTCCAACATAAGTCTTCAAGTTGCTTTTCGAAAGCTCAGCAAAGGCCGTGCTCGAAAGCAGAGAAAGAAGAAAAACCGAGTGTAGCATTGTGCTAGAATAGATTGTATTTGTAAACGAGTGACGAAACGAACGAACGACCAGCGAACACAGGTCAAAAAAAGACAAAAAATGGACGATGTGAGAAACCGAACAAACCTGCCAGAACTTTTTCGTGTCGGGCGGTAAAGCACCACCGCTCGTTGAAGGCTATTCTTCTATATAAACACTCGGCCTGTGAAACGAGGCGTCTACACTGGGGTCTCAGGCCAACCGCCCAGCAAAACGGCGCCAAAAGCAAATCATCTCGGGGACTAGCATGATGCAATGAGCCATGGGGCAAATGGACCCGTTTTTCGTCCTATTTGCGTGGATGGAGTGTCTAAGCCGTGGACCGTGGCACAACAAGCGTAGATGCGGGCGTTTCGAAGTGTTTCGCCCAAAGGCACGCTAGTCGAGGATCGGCGCGCTTGTACCTAAATAGGAGGATAGCACGTACAACATCATCTAGAACGACGACAATACACCAAGGAAAACTTACTGTTTGTTCGTCTTTTGCGATAATCGATAACATCACGCAGCACTGAAACGTCGCCTGCAGACTTCTTAATCTTTGCTGGGATCCTATTTGCTCATCGCAGAAACGTGACGACTCCTGTGGTTGCGAATTCACCTCTGCAACGTGCATCTTGCCTCCGCCCTGCATATGCCAGATGAAAGCATCATTGCCTCATAGAACTCTATAGAGACAAACGATTATTTGCATAGTTAAGGCCTAACTCTATTGACAAACGGCATCATCCAACCGTTGTTGTCCTTGAGCTTGCTATTCGTCTTGCGAGTCAGCCCAAAGACGGGAGGGTGCCAGGACCCAGGCCCGTAATTACTATGGCGCTTGGCACACACGAATCAAGAGCTCCGCAGATGAACCAAGTATCAAGGGGATATCGAAAGATTTTACAAATGGTACATTCTAGACGGGCTGATGAGGTCGAGAACAATGATTGGGAGAAAGGGGGAAGCGGGGACACTGCCTGTGGATGCGAGCTAACGTATGAAATGCCGATTACAAGAGAGTTTGCTTACTTACTACTAGAGATTTCAAGTTTCTTTGAGCGACAAAAAAGTCATTCTAGTTAGTACGGTCAACCACGACCCCATCGTGCTAAGACGTTGGACCCAACCTTGCTTGACGGGCTGCGCGACCAGGCACCAGCTTTGTTTTGGCATGCGCATCGTCGTTCGAGGCAATGGATCTCGGCTTATCCTTGTGAGGCAGTGCTCACCGTGCGGTCACTTGCCAGGCGAGGTTGACGTTGACATTGATGACTGCCAGGGCAAAAGAGGAAAAGGCTGCTTGCCTGGACAAAGACTATCACTATCAAAATTAGAATCAATACGTTTAGGGCTTCCAGTCCCAGTGTATGCAGACATCTCACAGAGCTAGTTGTTGAGCCGCGTCAGCGTGCACATTTCAGCGTCATGTTCAGAATTATTGACGCAGGGATTTAGGTAGACCACCAGGCTGGATTCTAGGCAGCTCACTACTAAGGTATTGGATCTTAGTACTCATACCGTATCCGCTTCATACAAACGTGGAGACGATGCCGTAGCGGGTACTTCAAACGATATGCCCTTCTCACTAAACTTACCCACGCGTTTGAAAGATCAGCGAGTAACCTCATTGACGTGCGGTTAAATCCGACGCATCCGAAAACTGGCATGATCTGCTTAAGCAATAGTTGTTAATGTTTAGTACCCCGGGTGTGTCTCGAATTGACGAATACGATGATGATGCCCTGGTGAATTGCGTCATGTCAGCGACTCAGGGTAGGTAATCTCAAGTTCGCTCTCATTTGTTTCAATGCCACGATGCGTAGTCCCAACAACACACGTACCGCTTGTCCTATTTTGATATTCGGTCGAAGTTTGTATGTAGGGTTTAATAGACGGTAATATAACAACCATGCTTCTAGTATATGCGCGTCATACGCTATAAAGAAGAGCCCACTTCCCATCCTCGACATCGAGATTTGTCGATCCATTAACACTGTACACACCCCACGATTTCCTCGATCCTGCCAAATTCTACCTGCCAGCAGATACACTTGATGCCAGATATTCATTAATACGCAGATCATTCTACCGTAGTCAAATCCTCAAGTCTGGAACGCTAAAACACATGATGTCAGAGAGAACTGTTGATCAAAACACCGAAAATAGAAACTCGACCCCCTGGCACTGATCGGCCTCAAACAAGAACCAGATCCATCTCTTCGCACTTCTCAATCGCTTCCGTGCCTGCTGCAAAAGTGCCGAGTCGCTCCCACGCTGGAGAATGCTCAGCCGACATCCCGAGCACAAGACCCGCAACAACGTTGTCGTACCGAGCAATGCCCAAGCACATGACTGTCGCCTCAAACCGAGATACGGTATCAGTAGCCAGCGCTCGACGAACCGTCAGTTGCTTTTCTCCATCACTATTCTCAAACTTCGCTTCGGAGAGTAAGCAGTCATGTGTCATGCGAATGGTACTCGTACCCTTGATCACAAGACTATACTCCCACGCCCCGCGATTCTTCTTCGCAGATAACATGCAAGATATGGTGGGGCCTCGCAGAGTAAGAGAAGCGCTAGAGATGGCACCCAGCGGATTGAGCCCAGTAGGAGTAACCTTGCAGTCGACAATGGTGACCATGGATTTGAATGTTTCGCGCTCCTCTTCATCCAGCAACGTATATGTGACCGGCACATCCAAGCTCGCCCATGAGAAAGAAGGGGCGCGCCAATTATCTGGCGCAAAGTTATCTGGACAAGCAGTATTTGACCGATTGGCATGCCATAGCATGTCAGAAGCCAAGTTGTGTTTCCATAGTCCGGCGAGATATTCGGAATGTGTTGCCTTTCTGATCTTACTCGCGATACCAGAGATTGCGGGTAATTTGTCTGTGGCGACGGTAAGATGACGTGCAGTGTAGTGCTCGACGACACGTTGCCACGCCTGCCACACGGCGTCTATTTTCTTGCTGGCAACGGCTTTGGGAATCAGCGAGGGGGTGGTGGGGTAGGCCCTGCGTTCCGGCATGCATTCGCAGCGATACGAAGTTTTGCACTCGAACAGCAATTCTGTTGCGGTGTAGTGTAGTATCCTTGTGCTAAGAACGTGCTCCTGTAGCCCCCAAGCACGCGATGTGAGTGGGCCGACTGGCTTCGCAGGACCTCCGCCAGGGGCATGGCTCGGGTGGTGATCTAGTATTTTCCTCGCTCTTAGTGCAAATTGTTTTCCAGTGGTGTTGTTATAGGGAATCTTAACGGGCTTCCGCCTTTCGACCAAGCATCTTACACTACTGTTGGCAGACTGCGTTGCAGCTATAGTGATGTAGCTGTTTTGGTAGATGCTTCCCATCTTCGCCGACTCAGTCTCCCAGTCTCGAATTGAATCTTGGATGATGCAAAGGCTATCGATCCACAAGTAGCGCAAGCCAAGCTGACGGGTGATGATGATTGCGTCTTGGAATAGGGGCGGGAGGGTATCAAAGGAGATGTTGACCGACATTTTAGGCCACGTCTCTTTCGTTGAAACGAGCGGCTGGGAAGATCCCCAGCAATGCGACAGAGCAGCATACTGAAAGTTCTTGCATTGTGTGTCAATCAGCCTGATTGGCGAAGAACTTTTGCCTACGTCGAGGAGACGCTTGGGAGGGGACAAGGCCGAAGGACAAGGAAACTTGCATGCTGTATGTTTTGGGTTCCCGATGCAACCTGTAATACAACGTCGAATAAAGTTGAAAGTGTCATCAGATCCCGAGTTGACCGGTATGTGATGGGCAAAGCCTAGAGTAGGCCATGGAGGACGTGTCGCTGCAGGTCGTTAGATAGTACCAACTCGCGTATGTGCACAGCCGAATACTTGCTAATGCAAAGTCCTCAAGAAGAAATCAAGCGTGTTATGCAAAAGCGCGACATCCGCCATGGAAAAGAGTAGCCTACCTGGTGCAGCATAAATCTCCGAAATCTCATCCTTCCAGCGCTCCCCACCAAGCGTAATCTTAACCGTAGCCTTCTCTTTGATATCAACATGTACTCTAGCCCTCGCACTTCTCCACCCACTGAAGAAAGCATCTAGCACAAGGACCAAAACATAGCAAAATCTACATCCACTTTCCTTGACCTTTGCAAGGTTCAACGCATCCAGCACAAGGCTCAAACTCGCGCGAGGCTCTTTCACAGCCTCAGTTTCGTAGACGGAGTTGGCGTGGCCTCTTGGGTCGAGATGGTTGCACATGCGACACTTTTTCCGTTGGGATTGGCCCGCGGACGCGGCTGGACGCACTACCGGGCGCCTGAGGCACTTTGGCAAAGGCATAACCGATTAGACGAGAAGCACAGTTTGGGTCGTCTTGAATAATGTGGTATGCATTGTAGGCGACGAATCGTCAGGCGATAAGTGGAAGCGCAGGGGAATCGGTAGCCATGTGATGCATTCAGCTTGACCGCTGGAGTTAAGGGGGCTAGTGTGTATACAGGTTAGTGGAGATGGGATGGTGAGATGTGGCTGTGGGGGCCAAAACACCGCTAATTCTGTAGTTTTATTACCTGAATCGACGACAACTCATCGACGAGACAAGCGCTTGAATTTCTTGCTGTAGAAAAAAACGAGTACACAAAATACGTAGTAACTTTTATCTAAATTTTTGAATGCTCGATGAAATTCCATCTCCAAAGATAGTTTCTAACAGCCATCCCTAGACCACAAATCCCTACCCCAGATTTCCCTCACAGTCCACGCACCAATCAGCCTCACGCTACGACATCTCCTCAACCTCCAGCCGCACCTCAGCTCTAACAAATATAGCACCGCCCTCCTTCTCCACACATGCAGGAACAACAACGAAAAAAACAACTTCAACCCGCCCAACTTACCTAAACAAGGGCCCATCGTCAGTCTTTCAGCCACACTTCTCCCTGATTGGTCCATCCAGCCCATCCACCGCCTCCAGCTCCCAGCAAAACAAGCCCAGAAAGCGATATACGCGAAGCGCACACCGCAGAGAATCTGCCTTGTCGTCCCCCGTCCAACCTCCTTGCCTACCATGTGCTCTCATTTGATTGATGAAGGAAACCAAAGCAATGAGCTGTTAATTAAAAACAACACTACTAGCAACACATGCATATTCCACAGCCCTCAGTGCTGCAAACGTGACCAATCCCCGCTCGTCAAGAGGGTGGAGAAACAAAGCGAAAAAAAAACCCCCCCGGTCTGGATACCTGGTTAGCAAAGCCAAGCAAAGCCAAGCAAAATCCGAGGATAGAGTAAAAGTAGGCGAAGAGAGAGAGAGAAAGCGGCTGAGTGGGACCTTTGGGAGCCTAGAGGATGGAAGTTACCGTCTCAAGCCAAGAGGAGAGGAGGACCATAGCTTTCCATAGCCACTGTACCATTAGCTGAAAGGACCAAGTTAAAGATATCAGAAACAGTCAAACCCATGATATATAAACCCTCTCTCTCCATCTCTATCTCTACAAAGCCAACTCCTCCTCCTCCTCCTCCTTCCTCTATCTCTCTCTCCCAATCAACCCTCAATCTTTTCTCGCTCCACCCCTTCTTATATCATTCAGATATACTATTTCCAAAAAGAAAAATGCACATCCCACACGCCCTCCTCACCCTCACCCTCCTCACCAGCACCTCGCTGGCCCTCGCCCCGCGCGCCCACACGCACCGCAAACCCACCTTCGCAGCAATGCTCAAGCGCGGCTCCGCCATCGCAAAGCGCCAGGGCTACTACCCCACCACGGGCTACTGCGACATGCCCGGTGATACATGCCAGGAAGCGTGCGGAGCAGAGTACGTCGAGTGCCCGACCGACGGCTCGTTTACGAGTTGCCATTCTACTACCGATGGCACGCATTGTTGTACTGATGGGACTGGAAGTACGTTCTTACATCCCCCCCCCCTTTTTCTTTCTCTTTTCCTTCGTCAAAAACCCCCTTTACTTCTGAGTGAACGATTAGTATGGAAAGGGGAGAAGTAGCTAACAGGGAGAATAGATGCATGCGGCGCAGGCGACTACTGCACCCACGACGCCAGCGGCTCAACCTACTGCTGCCCCCAGAACCTCAACGCAGAGGAGTGTGCCAAAGAACTCGGCCTCGATGTCCCGCTTATCCCTGATTCGGCGGAGACGTCGACGCCGATTGCGGTGCCGACGGGCGTGTCGGACTCGGTTGCTGTGCCGTCGCCTTCGCCTACGGAGGTAGAGGAGGAGGAAGAAGAAGAGACATCTTCGGGCGCAGTGGTGTCGCCTTCGTCTACGCCTGCGGAACCGTCACCGTCCCCGTCGTCGGCGAGAGCGAGTTCTTCGACGAGGACGGCTGCTTCGCAGAGTGTGGCGCTTCCTTCGGTTACGTCGTCGTCGGCTAGACTGCCCAATGCTACAAGCACTGGTCCTGGACTACCTCAGTTTACCGGTGGTGCGGCAAAGATTGCTGGGTCTGGGGCTGTGATGTTTGCGGCTGTTGCTGGGCTTGTTGTCTTGTAATTCAGTATCTTCATTGAGATGGAGCTGTAAGTGCTTCTAAGCTCATGTATCATGATTTATGCGAGGTTGGAGATGTATCTCCTGTCTCTTTACGCAGGGAGGAATCTGTATGTAGTAATGTCAATGTAATGCCAGTCATGTTCGAATACTTCTTTCACATTTTCTTCACCGCTCGGCTCTTATGCATGTAATCCCCTATTCCGGTCTTGAACCCATTCACGTGTCGGTATACGCGATACTACCGCACCATAGCATACAATATCAGTAACATGACCATTGTAACTCATCAATGTTTGATGTTGAGTTAAGAGAGAAGAAAAGAAAGAAGACATTCTTGTCTCGCATCTCTGACCTTTGCAGAGGAACCAGCCAATGACAGCAAAACGCCTAGGCTATGCAGAACATAGGAAAAGAAACAAGGCTCGCAAGACGTCTATATCAATGCTTTGCCCAGCCGCCTAAAATCCAAATGACAATGCCGCCCCGCTTTGCAACAAAACCCCATTTTGCTTGCCCGAGGCAGCGTCTGGATAACACCTAGCGCCAGTATGCATGTTAGGACAAAAGGAAAAAGAAAAAGATACACAAGGAGAGAAACCAAATGCCCAGTTTCGCCGGGATGACCAGATTAAAACACTAGCCATGCTGTGTTTCTAAATACCCGTCCATCCCCTCCGTCTTCGGACTTGCGTCAGGTATCCGCAGTCATTCGCTGGGAAGTCGACACCAGCCACAACAGCCTTCTAATCCGCAGTCGCTTTGCGCACCGGGGTACTCAATTCCCCACCACTAGTCTCTCTCCTACGCCTTACTATTTGAAGGCGCGGAAGAGGCGGTGCAGCGTTTGTTGGTGTCGGGGTTGGCGTTCCGTTCATGGGAGCGTCATTTTCACCAACGGTGCTTTGTCGTCTCCTATTCACTGCTTCACTGAGACGTCCTTGGCGGGCTTTAGGGAGGCGAGAGTTGGATTTACTGTTGGAATTGTTGGCTTCTATACGAGCGAGCGAAGACGCCGCGTCACGAGACGGTGGACGAGATGGTGTGCGGGCTGCAGCAGGTGTACCCGGAATAGCAGCAAAGGAAGTGGAGCTTCGTGCTAGAGCTGGTGGTTTAGAACGACCAGAAGATGGAGGAAGGACGGTGGTGGGGTCTTCGGCGAGATCCCACATTCCATTCGAGGATTGAGAGCGTGTGATGCGATCGCGCCCACTGCCCAATGATGTAGGTGTGCCATTCATAGGTGGCAGCATGAATGTGTTCTTGAGAGAATTCGGCGTAGGTGGTGTCAGGCCCATACCGCTACCAATCATAGTAGAACCTGTACTTGAGCCGGAGCCGTCGCGTCGACCAGCTGAAGAAGTAGGACGCCGTAAATTCAAGTTATTGGTAGACGCGCGACTGAGACTCCGCTTGCCATTGGAGCCTTTGTTGATGCCCGAGAGCTCTACCTCATCGCAAGCTCGGACAAGCTCTTCAGCCATTTGCCTCACTAGCACGGCAGCATCGTGTTCCATGAGCCAGGTGATTCGCTCATAGCAGCCAAAAGCACGCACGAGCCAACATCCTTCATCCTTTGCATCGCAAATTGTGCGCAGAATACGAAGAAAGTTAAGACGCGTTACAGCATCCTTATGACCAAGCTTCTGTTCAGTCCGACTGAAGATCTCTGGCACGGCAAGCGAAGCAGCGATGGGTGGCGATAAACGGACTACCTTCTGTAAAGGTTCAAGCATGTTCTCAAACGTCGAGTGCGGCAGATCGGCGGAGGTATATGCAGAGATGACAGCAGCCGTAAAGTTCGATTGAGGAGAAAGGAGGTATTGCTCGACGCGAGCTGTCTCTTCCTGAAGCCTGCATAACTGTTAGCCTACTGTACGCAGCTATTGTACAATGGGATGAGACGTACCAAACGAAGATGGCATCCAGGGCAGTCACAGCCCAATTACGGTCACCCAACAGTGATACGTAAAATGCAAGACCCTTTGCATCCCACAGCATCTTACGTGCTACCTTGCCAGAGTTGACCATTTCCAGGAGCACAGGCAAAGCAAACTCCTTGAGTGGTCCGCCTTCACGCACGACATCTTTGAGTAAGGGAATGATGTCGGACAAGGCAGCCTCCTCTTGTCTGCTCTTATTGTGCCGACACAAGTTGTACATTGTGTTGAGGATCTGATTCGAGATTTCGCGGTGGAAAGGCGGTAGCCGCTTGGGGTCGAATGTAGATCGACTCTGGCTGCGGCTCAATGCGTCCTTTTGTCGAGTAGCCTTTAGCAGATCGATAAGGATGTCGATGGCATTAGAGTTTTGGAGGGCTTCGTGGGTAGAAGAGAGGGAGCTCAGATTCTTGATGAACTTGAGCATCGTAATTTGGTGTGGTGGAGCCATTTTGCGAAGGTCTTTGAGGACGCCTGAGATTGTTAGTCGTGTTGCAAATGATCATTGACGAGAATGACTTACGCTTTAGAATCATCCGATCCGCCACAAGATCCTTGACATGGCTCTCTGCCTGTGAAAAGATGAGGAAGATCTGAACAATTCTGCCCACAATGAGTCGTGCAACCTCGCCATCTTCCTCAACCATACGATTCAAGACTAAACTGAGTGGGTACAGCACGCTCGATCTTGAGAATATGCGGCAAAAGTCATTCTTTGGCGTTGGCCCTTGCAGTTCAAACACACCATAAACACCATTGACACCAATGAGTACCAGGTCGCGTTCAGCGTCGATGTCCTCTTCCAGAAATTCGACAAGCACATTAATACCTCCACATCCAATGAACATTTGCAATGTCAGAGTGCTTGTCTGGTACATTTGTCGCACAAAAGCCGCAGCCTCTTTCCGAATGTCACTTGGGAACTTCTTGGAGGCAAAGTGGCAGATTGTTGGGATTCCTCCGAGGAAAGACAAACTCTCTTGCGACTCGGCATCTTCCAGGATAATGAGGTTGATGATCTTCAGAAGGGGCAGAACTACTTCGTTGTGTGGCCGGGTCCCGAGGATTTCCAAGATGGGCAGCATACCATGGCTTCGCAGGATGATTGACCGTTTGTCTGGTGATTCATGCAGTACTTGCAACAGTTGGTCTGCAATCTCCAGAAGTTCATCGTCTGGTTGGCTGATCTTCAAGCACCCGACGAGGCCTTCTGTCATCTTCGTCAGTCGATCATCCCGGTCGCGGGCAACGTTGTTCTCCAGGTTGATGTTGTCGAGGCCTTCATCCAGGTTGGCAAATGGATCAAGATCATCTTCGTCGGCAATGGTGAACGAACTTGCCATCTTCGATGTAATCATGGCAAGACTGCTGTGTTCACTGCCGCTGTCGCTTTCGGCTCGAGTAGGGTTAGCAAGACGACCTTTGATGTCGCCAAAAACGTCTGAGAAGTCATCTCCTTCGTCTTCGGCATACTTTTGAATTTCAATTTCAGATTGTGTCCGGTGCAGCTTGCGATTCGACGTTGAGCTCGATGATCGTTGGTGAATGTTTCCACTTGACTTCAAGTCTCGTGTTGACTTTGGACCTGCCCTCAAGTCGCTTGGGTGGAAGAGTCGGGGAGAAAAATTATCAGACGGCAAGTTGTTGGCAGCGGTTGCTTGCTTGGGCTGCACAGCCGGCGGCTGAGCGTACTGCATTGACGCCAATTTTCGTGCAAAGGCATTCTCGTCAGCTGGCATAAGATCCGAATAATCCTCAATAGTATCTTCACGGAAGAGCTGGCTGGGCCGCGCTGGGGCTGCGGTCCTTGGCCTTAAAGGCTGTGTAGACCGTGGTGTTGCCCGAAGGAATGCCGTTCTTGGCTGTACCTCGTGTCTGTCCTCAAACTCTGAATCTGTGGCACTCGATGCCGACCTTGAAGATCGGCCAGTGCTGCTAGATTTTGCGCTTGTTCTGTTTGATCTTTCGCTTGCTCTCTGGCCTGGCACTTTTGGAAGACTTTGGTACTGTTGCATGCTCTTTGGGCTCTTGACCGTAGCCTCTCCGTCTCCAAAATCCGCCGTTTCAGTGACCGACTCGAAACTAGCAAAGGCTTTCAGCCTGTCGCCCGAGAACAGACCACCAAAGTTATCTTGGGGCTTAAGATGCGGCATCTGTAGGGCACGGGGAGATATGCTTTCAGCAAAATCCTTGTCCCAGTTATCGTCGTGATCTAACTCGGGAGAGCGGAACGATTCTGCGGTAGGCCTGTGCTTTGATATGTTGAGGTTGACATTGACCGCTGCCCTGCGAGAGACTGCGCCAGGACCATTTGCTGCTGAAGGGGAGGACCTATGTACACCAGAAAGGCGAGAAGTCCTACGCAGCGAATTGGGCGACTTTAGAGCTTCGTTCCACTCTTGCACGGACTTGACAGCTTCTTGGTATTCGGTAGGTTTTGTGGGTACCGCCGGGACAGTGCGCTTGGCGCTGAGGATCCACGGGTGCTTGAGAAGACGTTTGGCAGAGATGCGGAGTGTGGGGTTCTTCTGGAAGCACTCCATGAGAAATTCACGCAGAAGCTGCAAGGGTTAGCACGCTGGGCGTTTCAGGGTAACAGGGACGGCAAAGGGTTTACTAACTGGAGACGCGCTGCCAGGGATCGGCGGGTGTTCGTCATTGACGATTCTGAATAGGGCCTGCATGGGCTGTAGTTTGTGGTACGGCGGCTTTCCCTCTATCAACTCGATGACGGTACATCCCAGGCTCCATATGTCTGACGAAGTGGTGGCGCCGGAGAGTTCAATGACTTCTGGGGCCATCCAGTAGGGCGTGCCCACAACGCTCGACTGGTCTAGACCCGACTGCTTTGTTGCTACACCGAAATCGGCCAGTTTGACCAAGCCCTCTTTTGTTGTTAGAATATTGGCGCCCTTGATGTCTCGGTGTATGACACCCTGCTCGTGTAGGTAGAGGAGTCCGTGCAGGACCTGGGACATGTAGAGCGCGACGAGGTTCTCGGGGAATTTTCCAAAGTTTTTGCAGATGCTGTGCAACGAACCATTTTCGCAGTACCTGGACATGTTAGCACTTGGCACAGCGCAAAGGCAGCAATTCGGGCAATGCTCACTCTAGAATAATGTACAAGCTCTCTGAACTCCTCACGAAGCCGTGGTACTTGACAATGTTGGGGTGGTTAAGGTTCTTGAGCAGGTCAATTTCCATCTCCATGTTCTTGAGATCTGCAGCGCCCAGGTTTTCGAGGCGGACTTGCTTGATGGCGACCGTCTCGCCAGTGCCCCAATTGAGGGCGCGGTAGACACTGCCAAAGGCGCCCTTGCCCAAGCAGTCGCCCAGCTGGTAGTCCTTGAGGCCGGCGACATCTTGGGCGGCTTTTTGGGCAGTGCCTTCTCTGCTTGGGCGCTGGTCGCGGTCGCGGTCGCGAGCATGGCCATTGTGATTGGACGAGGAGGATGACGAGGGCTTCTTGGAGTGGCCCCCGGGCGTGGTGGACGAGGGATGTGAGGAGCGCGAGTTGGAGGGCGCATGCGAGGGCCTTTGAGGATGTGAGACCATAATGGCTTTGGGCGGCCGTGGTCCCAGTGCCAGCAGCTGGTGACGGCCTTTTCTTATGTCCGCGTCAAGTCCGTGGGCGGCTTGTCACGGGATTAGCAGGAGTCGTGGTCGAGGTAGGGCGGCGGTGCGTGGCTCGCTGCGGTGTGCATATCCTCGAGCCAGCTGCAGCAGAAACGGCGGGCGCAGCAGCAGCAGCAGAGGAACAGCAACAACAACAACGACAATGACAATGACAACCGCAGTAACCGTAACGGCGTCAGGAACAGGAAGAGCCGTCGGCGGGCGTTTGCATTCAGGTCCCGACGAGGCCTACTCTTGCTGCTACTACGGCTGCGGGTGTTGTTCGTCCATGCGCCGCTCGGCGTGGTTTGTTGGCGGGGTCCGTCGCACGCCCTGGCCGTGAAAGAGCAATTATCAGTTGGGGATCCTGGCCGCGAAACACGCTCCAAGCCTGGCCAGCGAATCCCAAGGGCCGCTGCCGCCTGCCAGAGACGGCTGTCGTGGCTGCGCTGGGTCGGCCGGCTCTGTGAAAAGTGGCTAGGCACGGGCGCAGTGCGAGGGCGGCGTCATGGGGCGGAGGGCGAGGGCGAGGGCGAGGGCGAGGGCGAGGAATGAGGTTGAGATTGGCGTCGGGCAGACGAGAGAGAGGGCGAGGATGAGGGAAGGCAAGGGTGGAATGTCTTCCTTCCTTCCACCGCTCCATTGACGCCGTGTGCTGTGCTGTGCTGCGCTGTGCCCGCCTACCCAGCCTACCCAGCCCAGCCAGACCAGACCGCTACCCACTCGACTGCATGCCCCCCCCCAGCAGCACATGCGCCCACTTCGCTTGTGCTACTCGCCCGCCGTCCACTTAATTACATATTACCTGCTTTGCCCGTCTCTGCCCAATTGGTACATGCCCAACCCGCCCATTCACCACCTCTGTCTTGTTTTCTTCTGCTCGTTTCCCCTACTGCATCTTTCCTTTTGGCCGTCTGCAGGGCAGGGCTCGCAACCTTGTCCACGCGTCTTCACGTGCTTGTGCTCACCGTTCATGTACCTACGTACATACATACATACTTACCCACACACAGCACACGTGTGCATGCTTACAGGCGCAGGTACATACACATCAGCTGCCTCACATGGTGTTTTGTCCTCTCGGTACATTGCCCATCATTGTCGCGTCCAACCATAGCACCTCGCTCTCGTCAGCCATGTGTTATCATATCGCCGTCAACCTTGGCCTTATCGCGGGGAATGTGGGGAACCATGACTTTTGCTTTGGCCACCCGTCTGCCAGTGCCAATCTGCACCAAACAGGAAACTTTGTCCCACCAAACACACACACGACCCAAACATGTCTGGTCAACCTCTGTATTACTCGACTGTCTCTCTCCCATGCTTCTGCCCTACACTAACGCGAATCACGTAATACGCCAGCTAGCCGACTCGTACACGCGCATATGCACCTGCCATCCAACGCTTCACACTGGCTCCGAGTCACCCCAGCCCCTTGTCCTTGTATCCTGGCCCCTGCCTCAAGAGCTAACAACGTTGAGCACGCCACCATCAACCGCCAGAATCTGCCCGTTGACATATGAATTCTTGGTAAAGAAAATGACCGCCTGCGCCATTTCTGCATCGCTCCCGGCCCGTCCGTGTGGAACGTGGCCCTTCTCCTGGATCTTCTCGTCTGGCAAGTCACTCTTCTGCTGCTCGTCACTCTCCTTGGCTGTCATCTCAGACGGGAAGTAACCTGGTGCAATGCTGTTCACCCGAATCCGAAGCTTCTGGAACTCGGCCGACATGAGCTTGCTCAAGTGCACCGTCCCACCCTTGGCCGCGTTGTAGCTGAAATGGCCCTGCGCGTCCTTGATGATGCCGGACATTGAACTAATCACAATCACCGATGCAGACAAGTGCCCGTGAGTTTCGGTCCCAGCCTGCAACAGTGGTAGCAGAACAACGGTAGAAAAGTACACAGCAGTCACGTCTGTCGTGTACGTGTCGGCCCAGCCTTCGAAAGTCTCGTTGTCAAACAGCTTCTTCTTCATGTCTGTCGCCTTCTCCGCGTCTGGGATCGCCTTTTCGCCAGAAACTCCAGCAGACGCTACGAGCAGGTTGATGTACTTTTCCTTGGATGCTAGCTCCTGGTACATTCGCTCTAGATCGTCCTTCTTCGTCACGTCACAAGGTGAGAGTGGTATTATCTGGCCACCTTCATCGGGGTTATGTGACTTGGCTGCCGTTTCAAGCGCTGTTCATTGAGTCAGCTGAGAGGTCTGATATCGCGACATCTTGAACAAGCCTTCTCTTACCTTCTTGACGACGACCAGTAATGTACACCTTGACTCGATCGTCAGATATGCTCACATACGTACGTTATGATGGAGACATACCTTTGCACCATTGGCGGCCAATGCTTGAGCAGCCATCAATCCGATTCCAGAACCCCCTCCAGTGACTACGCACACGTAGCCCTTGACGGAAAAGAGCTTCGCGACATGGAGATCATCCGTGCTAGCTTTGGCAGGCATGGTGAATAGTTGTGCTTGATTTTCCGTGCTGCTTAGATTGTCAAGTGAAATTGTGGGTATACAACCTTTTCGAAAGCTGAGAGTGCAGAGGAAAAGTCAGACTCAACACCGCAGAATGGCGTAACAGTTCGCTTGGTGTTTTTGGTTTATGACGTACCTGTGTAAACAGCCCACCACAGCTCAATTGGGATTAGGGTGGACTCTAGCGTGGTCTATGCTCTTTCCCTATCGGGCCACGGAGAATATTGCAGTTCAGACGCTTTGCACTCTTTGCCTCCAGCTCTCGCGTCAGAGCCATCCAATCAATTGTCAGCCACGCCGTTGGTAGACAGCCATTTTGGCCAGGAGTTCTCATCTGTTTGGTTGCGTCCTTCTCCAGTTTTCGCTGCGCCCGTTGTCATACATTACTGGCATATCGTAAACTGCTGTCTATCGCTATCAACATTCGCTGCTTGCCATATACGTACATTCACCTTCCCGGCAGTTCATATCTGCTGCACATATATCCTGGAGCACACACCCATGCAGCGCTCATCATTTTCTTCGACAAGAAAGCTTTCGTGAAAATTTCGCTTACGGCCGGGCCACCATGGAGCCCCGGATATCTTCGCCTTCTCATGAATGGAACGTTCCTTCTTCCTTTGCGTTCAGATCACATGATCAGATCTGGCCTGAACCACTAGATACTCCTGGATATGTCCCGCGTCATCTCAAGCGCGCTGCAACCGGCCAATTCCCGATATTAGAGCTCATCCAGCGCTTGCTGTACCGCCTTAAACCTAGTGGCATGGGTGAAGTGGAGAGAATACTTGCTCTAGTTGGTCTATACCAAGCCTTATACCCAGCTTACACATATTTAAAAGACTTTTGTATGTGGATGTGTACTGTACAAGTCACTATCTCAGAAGCTGATCCTGTCGCAAAAGAGATACTCGCTTGGATAGGCTCAGAAGTTATCCCAAAAAGTCACTCACGAAGCGCTATGCTCGCCACTGGTGGTATGCATGATTCTCATCAAGCATTTCCCCTTGTAATGATGCCTTCTCCTCCGGGAGCGGCAACACACAAGAAGGATGACGGTATCTTTTGCCTCTCACCAATTGGTACACGACTCTTCTGGATCGGCTTTCGCCCATTTTTCTTTTCCCGTCGGGGTGTCCAGAGCCTTCGGAACAATGCATTGACGTCCGCCAATACAATTCACGATAACAGCCAATTTCAAAATGCCATTACCCTCACAACTCCAGGGTGGAGTCTCAAGCCACTACAAAACTTTGTGGAAATGTGTCATGACTTCAAGTTGAAGCACCTTACTGGCACTACTACAGTTTACTTTGCAGGCGTTAGCCGCAACGATCCTTACGGGGGCGGCTGGTACGTTCGACACACCGATCATTCCCAGGCCACCATTGTTCACCTTTCGCAGGCAGTCTGTATCCAAGGCCGTCCGCAAACTCGACACCATCGACATGGACGAAGACGTCAAATCCGATATCGTTCGAGACGCCGAGTACTACTATAGTGATGAGTCGTAAGTTTGGATTATGCCACGCCACACGCCCGTATCTAAACCCATGTTTTGATCATGCGAACCAGATCCAAGTTTCATACTTACAGAGTTATAGGCGCGCCTTTTTCGCCGACTGCGGTATTCCTTACCGACGTGGATATCTCTTCCACGGACCCCCCGGCACTGGCAAGAGCTCTTTCAGCGCTGCACTCGCAGGCCATCTTAGATGCGACATTTACCACATTAGCCTATCGAACGGTACCATCAGCGATGATGCTCTCCATCGTCTCTTCTTGGGACTTCCACGCAAATGCATTGTGGTCATTGAAGACATAGATTCCGCAGGTATCGGCCGTGAAACTACAACTTCGCGAAGAGCAGCACGCGAAGAGCGAATGCATCGCTATATCCCGAACGACATCCTCGAAATAGAAGCCTTTGAGGAACTGCTACCTCGAAAACGTCCCACATCAACTTCGTCCACTCGCAACCTAGTCACTCTAAGCGGCCTTTTAAACGCCATCGACGGCAATGCTTCGCAAGAAGGCCGACTACTCATCATGACATCCAACGACCCCGGCGCCCTCGACGCTGCCCTCACCCGCCCCGGTCGTATAGACAAAAAAGTTTATTTCGGAAATATGACAAAGAGTGCCGGAAGGAGCATCTTCAAGCGTCTGATAGGGCGATCCGCCATGGCATACAACTCCGGGTTTACTCCGGCGCAGATTGAGCAGTGGGCGGATGAGTTTGCGGACAAGGTGCCGTCGAACGTTTGTATGTTTTGTAGATTAAGTGGAAAGTTCGTACTAGTAAGATAAGAAACTAACGTGTGAACAGTTTCTCCGGCTCAAGTACAAAACTTTCTTCAGGGCTGCCGCGGTGACCCGATCAAGGCGCTGAACGATGTCGAGGCGTGGATTGCGGAGAATCGATCTACGCATATGAATGGGGCGTTTGATAGCAAATTCGACTTGTCGCTGTCAGGTAGTGAGCCGGATTCGGGGTGAGCAATGCTAGGTGAGGATGTGGATGAAGAAGAAGTCACATGAGGTGCTACAATGCACCCGACTGACTGAACATGTACCATATGTTAACTATAAGCACGCAGATAAGGTAGAAAATACATGTACAATACTACTCCTGAAAGTCAAAAAATGTGATCAATTATGCACCGTATCAGCGCGATCAAGAGGAGCAAGGAGCCACAATCTGAAGAGACAATGCTCAATATACATTTTAATCACCTATCTACATTTTCTCCATACCACACATTAAATTAAATCAATCGCTAGTCTAAAGGAGTGTCATACTCATCCATCATCATCATAACCATCATTTCATCCTTTCACAATTACACCTCCCCAACCTTAACATTAAAGGGGAAAAAAAAGACATTAAACCATCTAACACTCCCGAACATACAGCCCAATGGGACTAGGATTATAATCCTGAAAATACTCGACCGCGAAATCGCCTTGAGAACACATTTCGTAGGCAATCGTCTGTCCCGCATCACAATCCTGCGTCTCGACGTACCACGAGCTTCCTGGCACAAGATCGAACCACATACTCGCGCCGCTCTCGTGTGGTTTATTGTTCCATGTAGTGGATTGCGAGGCCGGGCCAGAGAGGCGGGAGACGGTGACGTGGCCAGAGCCGGAGATGGTGTAGTCCGAGGTTTCGAGGTCGGATTTTTTGGGGAAGAGGAAGATGGTGGAGCATTGTTTGTTGGCGTACGAGGCGGGGATGTCGAAGTTGAAGATGGTGCAGGTACGCGAGTTGATTTTGGCGTTGTATTGGGTGCCGTAGGCTTGGTCTGGGTGGTCGGCGTTGATGGGGACGATGAGGTGAGGGTATTGGTATGCGCCGTTGAGGTCTAGGGGGCAGACGTCGGGAGGAGCATAGGGGTGGGAGGGCTGCGGGGTGGATGTGGGTTGGGGGGAAGGAGAGGGTGTGGGAGTGGATGGAGGAGGTGCGCTGCCGGCGCCGCAAGAGCCGGCTGCTGCGAGGGAGATCTGAACGCATTTTGTTTGGCCAGCGACGGGCTTGGAGTAGACGTTGTAGACGCCGTTGTCGTTGACGGGGCAGGCGTAGAAGGTGGTGGAGCCGTTGTAAGTCACGCTGCCGTCGGATCCTACTGCGAAGCCGGATGTGGGTGAGGCACCGACGTCGCATTGGAATTGGGTTGTGGGAGGTGTCAGGATGCAACCTCTTCCGTTGGAATCGGTAAATCCGCCATCGCATAGGCAGTAGCAGCCAGTGGGCAGTTTGTCACCAATGCGGTTCTGGCCATCGCCTAGTTGGCTGAGGATACCTTGGGCGCCGCCAGATGCTTTGAGCGTGTAGCATTGGGTGTCTGAGCGAGCGACGAGGGCGTTGGCACCAAGGCCAAGCGCCAGAGGAGCAAATGCGTATCTCATACTGTAAGATGAAACGAATTTGTTACAGATATTATATTGTAGATGTCGAAAATGTCCAGCAGGACGTGGAAACTAGGTGACCTTTATACGTTTTGACTTCTCAGATGAAAGCATAAAAGACTCACAGAATACCTCCGGTTTTTCCAGTAATACGGGTCCAGATACCCTGTTGGGGTCGTAGCAAGCGTTGACGATCCACTACATCGGCAAATCAATGGTCGTGATGTCAGAATGTGTACGCCCGCACTAGCATTTGATGGATCTCGTGTCCGAGGTGGCAAGGATCCAGGAAGCCCGAGCAGTTGGCTTCGATAACGTGGCTGATGGATGCGTGCGGGAAGGTTGTGGCCTCAAGTAACGCAAACCACAATGATTGGCTGCTGACAGTAAGAAGGTTTCCGGGAAGCCGTGTCTCTTGATGATCAACGGCCGGGTTCATAGACTTTGTTGATCTGAAAAATGGCCCTAGATTTTCAAAGTTGCTATTCAGGGTTGTTTTGAGTAGGTGGCTTCTGGTAGCAACACCCTAGACTACGCGTGATGCTAACTATCAAGAAAGAATCTTGAAGCAGCCATTTACTCAGACACCACTGTGTTTTGATAGTAAGCAGATCATCGTATACATCCATGCTGTAGGACTGGTGTTGGGATACGTGGTAGTCAGAAGTAAGATCCGGCGGCACTGTCGGAGTTGCCGTCACTTCTTACGGGAGAGCTATTGGCACTAACTCTGTCAGTGGGCAGGAGACCATTAGGTTTCCGAATATGGTAATTCATCGTTGCCGAGTGTTCCGTAGGCCCAAAAATATACGTACAATGACAAAATAAGCATTTCTTGCAGAATACCCCGCGCTTGGTAGTTGCTTAAAGTATCATGTGAGGCGGAAGGGCGGCGTGGCATTATACAAAGCCAGACATTCATAGTCCGAGCTGGTTGGCTACGTTCAGAAGAAGCGGTGGAAGGGTGACGACTACACCAATCTAGGCATTAGATGCCAAATCATGGCAGTCGGAGAGAGGGAGCGTATGGAAGGTAAAAATATTTACGGAACCGATCCGATGCCTAGGCTTTTGGGTTCGTTCCGTGATGGTTTTGAGATTTTGAATTTGCAGTTGTAAAAGGCAAAGCAAGTTGTGGGGAAGACACGCTTGTTGATCACGCGATGCTGAATATGTGCATCACATCCCCCAAGTGGATTGGAGACGTTGTAAAGGTACCACTGCCTCGGTAAAAGCTCAAGGCTTGCATTCATCAGGCTAGAGCTGTCTGTCAGACACGCGAATGAGCCGCAGATTCCTTAGTGTTCGATCGATATAAGGTATAGCGTAGAAGGATCAACTAGTAGTACGGCCTCTCGGATCCCAGCCACCCGGATCAGTCCTCTTACAGCGACCGAGAGCATATGTCATTCTCATGAGCCTTGTGATACACTGGTAGAGTCAGAGTATTGATGACGGATCAGCGCAGCGGTGATATGCTGGCAAAAGTGTATGCAAGAGATCTCCTCTCGTATCCGGTATACATCGGCTTTGGGCTTCGCAGTTGTGGCCGGATGGTCGATCAGATGATATTCGACTCGGTGGCTGGGCGGACGATATAACGCGGGAATGATGAGCCCAATAATCCCTCAAGGCGGATACTTGAACTATTGGTCATGTGCGTTCGTAAGATCGGGCTGGAAATTGCTAGCACTATGAAAAGGCTTGAATAGAGGAAGGCGGAAATAAGATTTTGATGGTCTGAATATGTTTACACTTTACGTCACCCGCTTGTCTTGATTGAGCCTGATTAATCGGATCATCGGGTCATATCGCCCACCCGGAGTCTTCCGTCACTTGGTATATTACATTATCATAGCAACACTGTTATCCCCCAGATATGAGAAATCCCACGTCGAGCAGATCTTGGGAGATTGACCTTACGGCGAGTTCTGGTTTACATCCGAAAAAGTACCATCACCTCGGTAACTGCCACCCAGGTCTTTCTTTACATTTACAGGCATGTTTGGATCGCGTCGCCGCACTTCGTATCCAGGAAACTTTATTCTTACCTTTCTACTCCCAGGGAAATTCCCGCAACTGGCAGATAGACTTTATGTATCTGAGTGTTTGTGTTAGTGCACATGTCTGTTTTGGTAAGTTGCTTGGGGCGATATTAGCCCTACGGGTCTTTTCTTCAGAGTAGTCTATTATTTAGTGGCTCACATTGGTACCTATGACGGCTTCGACCCAGCATTCTAGGCAGATGGTGATACTTCCACCTATACTTCCACGATGTGCATGCATCTACGATATGCTCAAACACGCGTTTGGCAGAGGGACCAAAAACTAACATGTTAAGCACGTCAAGGTAGGAAAAGGCTAGGGGACCTATTAATAGCATTAGTGTATTAATTTCCATTAAATTTCACTCAAATTCAACTTCATTGGCCTGTGAACTGCTATTTTACATGTCTCGATTCGAGGATTGCACTGAAAGATAGTGATACTACGTAGTGAAGCGATGGAAAACGGGATCGTACCAGTCGCGACATATTGATTCCTATATCCCCTCCAAGTGTTGAAATTCAAGCTAAGGCATGTGCCTTCAGGGGTAAATAGCGTAGAGATATACAGTTAGCCACTCACCCAGGGTAGTTAAAATCAAGGGTTCGTCGCATAACTTCGACACCGAGTCAACACACCTACGGCTTACCCTCCCAAGCCTTGGTAAGATACTCCTCCAAACCGATAAACTTGTGATCGGGAAACCTCTCATTCCACTCCGCACTCACATTCCATGACCCGTTCAGAATCGCCTGCATAAACATAACCACGAACGCCTTTGAAAAAACGTCCTGCTGATCTTCCGGCATCGTCGGATGCGAAAATTGCGGAATCCAACTCGTCTTGAGCTTTCCCTCTTTGATATCAGCACCAGACACGCGCTCAATCGACCACTCGCCGCCCCGCAACTTCTTCCCCAGCGCAATAAGCTCGTTAATAGTAGTCTGACATCCCCTTATGCCACCAAGCTTGGGCCAAGGCCTTTCCGTATCCTTAAGCGCCTTTGCAAGAATCACAGCATCGTCTTGCATGGCCGTCAGCACAATTGGCTGATCTCCCTCATCCAGCAGCATCGCGCGCCTGTTCTCGAAATCGATGAAGAAAGGCCAGGTGATGAGATCGGGCTCGAGCGGGTACGGATGCGCAAAGTAATCCATGAAGATGCTTGGTTGGAACAAACAGTATTGCATGCCCTTTAGCTCGCCTTTTGCATCCAGGTCTTCGAGGTAGCTGCGGACTTCGTCCTTTACTACGTAGCTGGGTACGCCGCTATAGCTGGCGATGCTCCATTCTGATGGGGCGAAACGGGATACGCCTGCTGCGATGCTGGCATGGATGAGGTTCTTCTGTCCGATGTTGTCGACGTCGAGATGCACGACGAAGAAGGAGAGGACGGTGTGGACGCCACGGAGAGCGGTTGTTAGGGCATCGCGGGAGGTGTAGTCGACCTGGAAGTAGGAGACTCTAGGGGAGGGGTGTGGCTTGGAGGGGGCAGAGCGCGTGAAGATTACGATGTCGTGTTGGTTGGAGGCGATTGCTTCTTTGAGCATGCAGGTTGCGACGTCTGGTAATGAGAGACGTTATTACAATGCAATTCATTTCATGATGATGTAAAAATTCGAATATGCAAGTGGGGTATTTTGGACATGGGGAGAGGCAGCATACTTCCTGTGCCTCCAGCTACCGCGATTTTGACCATGATTGTTTATGGTTCAATTCCAAACAGTATCAAGAAAAAGACATGTATCTTGAAAGATTCTTGAAAGGAATATCGCAAGTCTTTGGGCATATTATATTTATCTATCGTTGTTTGTTTGTCATACAGTTGTGGGGCGAAAGGTGGAGAAATCAGGTTACTTCGGGGAACGAAAGGTGGAGAAAGCAGATTATGCCGGGTAATATCGTGCAGCGTTGGCAAGACCGATTGGAGGATATCTATAACTATCTCTAAGGATGCGCATTGCAATTTTCATAAATAAAACAGGATACAGTGACTAGTGATAGAACAGAGATGAACAAAAGCTGACATGTCAAATGCCAAATGGGTATACGCCAATGTAAATGAAGAAAGATTTCACTATAACGTTACCATCCTCATGTCTCGATGAGCGGAACTTCAGGTAATGGCTTCTCAGGGAGGGGTTTGCTTGGCAAGGGCTTCATCGCCTCCTCATACGCTGGTGGTCGTGACGAACTGCCACCTTCTTCCGGGTCGTCAGTGTACCTGGCTTCTCCGTGCAACAGAGCACCCTCCTCTTCGGCTATCCTTTCCCTCCTCATGTTCTCCCACACATCCTCCATGCCATCCCACTTCATAAGTTCGCGCTGTGCCCTAATCCACCTGAAAAGTTTGTAGAGACCAAATAGCGCAAGAAGGCCAGCAACAACGCTGAAGAAGATGATCCAAAACAAGTCCCAGAACTGCCAGTGCACGAGTTCACCAAACATATCACGCAGGGTGCCTGACTTTCCGTAGCGACCCCATTCTTCTTTGCGGTATAAGAAGCGGCTTCCTTCTACTTCCCAGACGTCGTTTCCGAGGAAATGTCCGATTCTGCCCCATAGCGACAAGGGTTTGTTTTCAGGAAAGGTATATGCTCGAGCTACAAGGCGCATGTCGACGATTTGGTATTCGTATCTCTTGTCTTCGGAGTCTGATTGGCCATTGAATGGATCGGCAGCCTTGTTCCCTCCACCACCATGGCTCTTTCTCGTTTTCAGCGGTGTTCCCTTGACCAGCATCCAAAGCATGTTTTGCTTGGAATCATCATACTTCCAGAGTGGATCATCGGGATACCTTGACCTTCCAATAGCGTCTAGTGAAACGTTCCAGTATTCAGCATCGTCTTGCTCATCGTCGCTTTGGGACTGGGTTGATTCAGCAATGTAGAGATAATCAAATTCCAGGCGTGTTTGCGGCCAAAGCGGAGTCTTTAAGCACCATTCAGCGGAGTCGAAGTCATGAGTCGGAGTGGTGCAATAAGGGCTTGAGCTTTTCAGGCCGCGGGACAGCTCTGCGTTGGAAAGGTTGGTAGCGTAAAGGGCGGTGTCGAAGCGCGAGGGTGTAGGTATGGTTGGTAAAGGGTATAGCGGACGGTTGTTGAGCAAAACGGTGCGATTGTCGTGAGTGAGAGTGACATTTAACAACTGAAATCTCAGTACATGTACGCCATATCTAGCAGCAACAACAACAACATACCAGTAAGTAGTCGGCCTTTTCGGCCTTCTCCTGTTCCGGGAGGGCAAACGGGCAGTCAATGCATTTGATCTTCGCAATATATGACGATCCAGGAACTACTGCCGTGACGTCGGCGATGGGTTGCGCACACTCCTTCACGTTGTCCGTCTCCTCTGGGTCATGGCAATCAAGCGCATTCGGAACACTGCTACCACGAGCCAACTGCAAGAAGGTAGCAAAAAGAGGCACACCAAGCAAGCGCATGACGGGCGGGTGGTGGTGAATGACGGAGGTGTGGTGTCCACCCATCTATCATCCACCGGGTCCTCGGCTTCGCCTGTCAGGGGCGGGACGCGGTCGCGAGGCGCACATGTGGGGCGAGCCTAGCTAGCCTGACAGGACCACTGCCGCGACTTAATGTTGCTATTAAAAGGTTATATGTTATGGCCGTTCAATTACGAGATGGATGTCATGAATGTGATATCCAAGCAGGATGGCTATCCGTTTAGACGTTGGCCACGTATCATACATTGATCACGTGACATGCGATATGTACCATGTGATACATTCGTAACCCAATTGCAAAATCATACATACAATAATGGGGATTAATAGTTCTTTCTATTCTCATCTGTGTAATGCACGATACATCTAAGAATAGCTCCCGCAAATTGCATTTCCAATGATATTTCATGGCATCCAGCCCGGTATAAATATATTAGGAATAGAGTGATAGTATAGCTGATGTCTACATCGAGCCAACCTCCATGTGACTGAGCTTACGTGGAATGGACTTATGATACGTTGCTTCTGAAAGCAGTGTGTTTCCCATTCGATAGTCGTCTTAATCTGTTGCTCTGAAGTTGGCGATAAAATACATAATCTCAACCCAGGTGTTATGGAAACATGCCGTGAAACGCAATATATTTAACACACCCGATATGACGGTCGCCCAATCATCGCCTAAGAGCTACCTCCTCTCCCACAACAGCATAATGGAAAAGCTTGAAGTACAGAAAGAGCTTGTCACGAGGCTCATCATGACTACAAACGACAACATACCGTCGCGAGTCAATTTCCAGTATCAAGTTTCTATCGAGGGCCAAATAAGGTCTGCTGATTCAGGAACACAGATCCACATAACCCCCACCTTTTGATTGTTCATATCGATTCTGTGCCTTGAGAGGTCCAAACCATGATTTTGCGGTTGTATGAAGGCTGTCAGCTTCCATGGCACCGTCTTCCCATAGCAAACCGTGACTACTCAACCCTAAAGCATGCGGTTCCTCCATTAAACTTCGACCTTGATGCCATTGTACATCTCTCTAGCTCAATCTGCTCTTTGCGATTTGCTGGGTCGGCACCACCGCTAGACCCTATGACGTCACACTATGAGATCACAGCACGCATCTAGCAACATAAAACAAGCAGCCCATCACTATTCTTTCGGATCCAAAGTCTCTTGCGTAACAAATCCCTAGTGTAATACAAGGAAAATTCAACTCCGCTCAAAACAGCCCACAATGTCTTCATCAACTTTCCAATCCTTCTCCAGCTCCAGTAGCTCCACAACCATCAACGGCCAGACGGTTTCAAAATCCGAGCAAACATACTCAGACCCCAGTGGCACCCGTACACAACGTACCCACCAAGCACCGGGCGAAGCTCCACGCATCGAGCGCTTCCACACCGATGCGAACGGCAGGCAGATTGACAATCCGCGCGGCACGGACGCGAGACGAATCCAGGATGTGACTGAAGAGGAAGATGCACCTGCCAAAGGAAGGCAATACGAGGAGAGAATGGAAGACGAGTATGCAAAGAGGGAGGGCGGTGCTTAAGATGTTCTTAACATAACAAACGAAACATGTCAAAAATTGGCAAACTTTTTTGAAATATGCACAAAGTGTCAAGTTTTGTTTTTTTCTCTACATAGAAAAGAAGAAGTAGGATCAAAAAGAATGAGTCCAGCTGAGTTATATACAGTTTTTGAGAAAAGAAAAGAAGAAAAAAGAGCACCCTTGCCCCCATCCTGAGCACTCCAAAAGTCGTGTCTGGCTCTACACATGAAACAGTTCTCAAGTTAGGCCAGGTTTTAGTGGCCGAAGTAGCTCTTGATCTTAGGCAGGATGTACGACCAAGCAGCGCCAGTCGTCGGCTCCATGCTGTAGATGTAGTTGCCCCACCACGGGCCAGCCGACCACCAGATAGCACCAAGCCAGACATCAGAGTTCTTGACCATGTAGTCGAGACCGCCCTGAAGAGCAGTAAGGCACTGAGCATTGCTTCCAGCACCAAACTCGCCAATGATGCCCTGGAGCTTGTTGTCCTTGAGCCACTGTGTTGCGGCGACAAGACGCTCCTGGAAGATGGTGGAGCTGACGCAGTCGGCGTTGGTGCCGGAGCCGTCACTGTCGAGGTACTGGTGCATCTGGAAGACGAGCTTGTTCTGGGGGTCCTTGAGCTTGACTAGCGATGCGGCGTTGCCAGAGGAAACCCAGGTCCAGGCGCCGGACCAGCTGTTGCCCTCAGGGGTAATGTACTGTGTGGTCGCACCGGCAGCGCGGATACCATCAATCCCGGCCTGGTTCAGACTAAAGACAAGATTCTGATCCATGTCATGAAATTCGTTGTTAATGTCAAATACAACAAGGGAGTTATCTTTGTACTGCTTAGCGACATTGGTCCACCACGTCTTGAAGGCTGCCGTGTCGCTGATGATCTGACCGCCGAAGCGACCGTAGTTGTGGGGCTGAACCATAGCGTATGCGCCCTTGGAGGTGATGTAATTGATGGCTTCGGTAAGGTTGCCTAGGTAGTTGGAGTCAAGGTTGGCTGTGAGCGAGTTGGGCGTCAGACGCTCCATCAGGAAGTTGATACGGAACATGTTCATTCCTTGCGCGAGGAACTGGTCGACTTGTTTGGTGTCGATCCAGATGTAGTCCTTGTTGTATAGACCAGGGATATTAGCCTCGCCGAATTCAGGTCCAGACTCGTTGATGCCGAACCACTTCAGTTTGCCATTTGACTGGCTTTGCGTGGCTGGGGTTTTTGCTGGAGCTGCTGATGGCGACGGAGAAGGAGAAGGAGATGGCGATGCCGCTACTGCACCACCGGCCTGAGCATGAGCGGCAGGTTGAGGTTGAGCACCAGCTTTGGGATGGGCAGCAGCTTTAGGGTGAGGGCATGCCAAAGCGGTGCCAGCCAGGGCGACCGCAACGAAAAGATTCTTGAAAAGCATTGTAAGGAATGAAATAAGCTGTCTTGGTAAAAGCTTAGGATGGTTGGCTTCCAAGCAAAATAGGGCAACGGAGACTTCTTTATACTAAGAGCCAAAGAGCTATATGGCATGGAAATAACCACTTGGCCGGCTACTGACCGGGATGCTGCATGCCGTCCCCTCATGGGAAATCATTTCGCTCGGTCATAATATGAAACTCATGCGTATGGAATGGCAGACTGGGTTCTCTAGGCCGGGATACAAATTGGGTTTCCCAAAAGCGTAGTGAAGAAGCTTTGATCGACTGGGGATGTGGGTCACGCCTCGTGCTTCGTGCGAAGGAATGAGCATTTTTATTTGTGGAAGCGGCAGAAACAATGGAGAATCCACGTTCGAATCAACGCGCCAATTACAATGGCTGTCGATATGTGGGCGGCAATTTCAGGACTGGTCATGAAACGTTGGTCTCGATTGTTCCGTGTGACGATGACCAAAGCCACAGAACACATGTCACTGAATCCTAGTTTGCCGAAGCTTGCATGCTAGATTGTTTGTAAATTAACCGTCCCGGAGCCTTGCTGTTTCTGCTCTAGCGGCTCATTTGCCGTCGGCTTGGGAACATGGGAATCCCGCCTAAAACCCCAACATTGCTGGGAGAAGCCGCGCCAAACGACTAAGTAAGCTTTATAATGGAAAGTTTAAGTTGCTTGACACCCGTCCTGAATTCAGTTCGTGCGACAACATTGTGCTGACGAAAATACGAGACTTGTACTAGATGGTGATGTTATGTTTCCTCTCGGCGGAATGGTGAAATGGGCAACACCACCGATTCACGCTCCCAGCTCAAAATGTAAGCTCAAGCCATCAGGTACTTCATCTGCACCCGTTGTTCTAGGGCCCACATCTTCATCGAAAACTGGTTAGTTGTGCCATGGTCAGCGCAATTAGCGAAATCAATAATGTTTACTTTCGCAAGAGGGGGCTTGTGGAGGTACTGATATTTCGTGCGGGAGAGCGACGTTTGTTGGGTGAATAATGGATAGCTTTTCGTAATGACGGGTCATGGCAATATTCAAAGATCAACTAGTGGGTATATAAAATATTGGCAGAGTAAAAAGATCTCTCCTCAAGGAACATTCCGTGCATTTGGGGAAAGAGCACAAGGACGAACAGCGAGCGGTAGTCCTGAATCGACAGAGTGATAAACCTGCTTCGCCTTCAAGTACACAAAGTAGAAGCAGAGCGCGATAAAAACAATTCAATCGCTTCCCATTCGCATTCCACTCAACGAGCACTTTGAGTAATGATTATCCAGGTCCCACGCCTGCTTGAAGGCCGTCATCGTACAATATTGCGCCGCCTAGATACGGAAGGCATATTTTTAGACAAAGGGCCGAGTATGTTTTGGGAAGAGCTGGCAAACACGTTTTGGCTACTTCTGACACCAGCGCGTTGTAAATTCTTCCATTGAAGCTGTGAACGACCAGAAAAATGACCCGAGATAAAAGAAGGCATGGATGATAATACCTTCCCACTTCGATTATGTGTGGGACTCTTCTGAGAGGATGGAGATGGTACTGTGCGAACATATCCAGTCGGTTGTCTAACATAGGATGGTTGATTTTCTGAAGAGACATATACGCCATTGTTCGAGTATTGCGGCCACTCTGTCTCTGGCCTTGTAATTAATCTTTTCGAGTCTATGTGGCGGGTCTGGCGATAACGCGAGGGAATATTTGGGTCCAAGTCCGTTCGATTATAGCTTCGTGTCAATCCCCCACTCTCATTCCTAGGGCTGACGGGGGAATCGAAGAATGAGAGCCCATTCAGGCCACGTGGTTCAAGCCAAGTAGCTTGAGACTTTGCCATCGTTGATCTTTGAGACCGATAGACGTCGGAATGATTTGAACTACCGTCAGGTTCAGCGAGTCCGGATGGCGAATAGATTTGGGCCTGGCTATGACTATCTCTGAAATATGGACTTACTACGTTCTCGATTGAATTCCCGGGATGATGGTACCTTTTGGGTGAGGGCTGGGCGCGGCCAATATTTGGCCCGTTGTACAGTCTATTTGTAGATACGTTAGTCGGTCTGGATTGTGGAGGTCGCTGGTAAGTTTCAACGGAAGCAGACAATCCGTACGGAATCGAGTGCGTATAAATGTTCCCTGGACTCCAGGGCGTTTTTCGATATGTAGTTTGTGAGACTGGCTGATTCTCATATGCATGCTCTACTTGCCTGTTACTGCTGTCACCTTGATAGTCTAAGCCAGCATTATCACGTGGGTCTCTCAAACCCAGCTCGACTTCATCTCCACACGAAAGGCCGTCCATCAGGCGAATGTATGAAGGCTCAATAGGTAGTTGGACCGGACGGTATCTTTTGCTACAAGACTCCGCCTTGGCGGGCGACGATGCTTGGAATGTGAAATCGGACTGGTGTTCATGTATGCTAACGTTGGCGTTTGGCTGCGGATTCCTGGAGCCCAAGTGCTGAGAGTGTTGTCCCATGGGAAGGGCACCTGACATGCACGGTGGTTCGCTATGGAGTTCATTACGAGCCTCTTGTCGCGTAGTGTTGGCACTCTGCCAATTTGCATCCTTGTACATCTGAATACCCCTACCAACCCCTAGGTTTTTGTCTGCCAAAGGAGAGGACCGGTCACCAGCGAACTTCTTTCTTAGAGTAGGGAATATATTGCGCATGGATTGCATTCTCAATAGTGGCTTTGCTGGGGGCGGCATCGGTTGTCGGCCTGGGGAACAATCGACTTGCATATCTTTAGGAAGGGGAGAGTCAAGACGTTGCCGCTTCCCGGGCCGCCGTAGGTAGGAGCTCGAGGGCGTCGTTCGTACTTTGTCTGATGCGTGTGCATATCCACTAACAGTATGACTCGAAGTGGCCTTTCGCAACACTTCATTGAAGTCTCTGTGATCATCACGAACGAGAGTTTCGTCACTATCGAATGCGCTGGGGTCCACCCCCCTGAAGTTCGGTATAGGTTGAACAGGCATTGCAAATCCTAGCTGGGCAAGTCGCTTTTGCATCTTCTCATTCTGCCTGGGAACTTTAGCATATCATATATGCTACAAGCATGGTTCACTTACTCCATCAACATCGGAACGAGCTTCAAATAGTGTCGAATTGCCGACTTGTTTGTAATAAATGTCTTCAGATCTCGTGCATTGACATTGAGGCTGCGGAGTTGCTCAAACTCCTGTTCAACACCCTGTAGCCGCTGTACCTCGGCCTGCATGGCTTCGAATTGATCCTTTTGCGCTTTCAGTTTGTCTGTTTCCTTTTGTAAACTGATCATCTTCGCATGCTCTTCAGACACGAGATTGCGCATGTTGGCAAGCTTCTTTTCTGATTCCTTGAGGGTTTGTTCGAGAGGCTTGCGGGTCGCATAAGTGTTTTGGCAGTACCTTATGAGCGCGATATACTGGAACTACATGATGTTAGCTGTTTATGTTTGTACGTGTACATGGTAGTGACATACACGCAAAGCATCCATCTCCTTTCCATTCCCGTCAAGTCGAATTGGCGGTGCAGTAAACCAGGATGGTGGTATCATAGGGTCGTACTCGTTCTTGTTGAAGCCACGAATTGAGTACAGAAACTGAGGCTCACTGTCGCCTTTCTCTTTGATGCACACAGGGCACGGCGCTTTCGGACGCTCTTTGTCGCTATGGAAAGGCGGTCCTGCGTAATGGTCAGTAGTCGTCTTACATGGTATTGCGGCTACTTACCGCCACCTTCGAGATGGCTACTACAAAAGACATGGCAACAGCTTGCGAGGAAGAGCCGCGTCACGAGGCGATCCTTAGGGTTGATGCCATCCGATAGACCGCGAACGGACTGGTTGTGGCCTTCGTATACATCGGCAAAGGTAGCACTGCAGAGCGAGCAGGAGTAAATGAAGTTAAGAGGAGCGGGGCCAAGTTCCATTGGCCCTTTCTCAGGTGTAGAGCCCATCTCTGCAGTTGTCCGTATTGACGAAGCAGTAGTGGAGAAGGTGAGAGCAAGGTGTATGTAATTCACGCGTGACGGAGAGGTTGGAAGTCGCAAACCACGATGCCAAGCCAAGAGACCCTAGTGGTGCCTTCCTTGGGTGGTGAGGTGTGAGAGGTGAGAGGTGACCGTAGCAGCGCGAACATTATGAGAAATGAAACGAGACATTCACAAGAAAAGCGCAGCACATTCGTAGACTAGCACAGCTGACGGGCACTTCCTACATGAAATTTGAAGAGATGGTGGAAATATGAAATGAAATGGAGGGAGAGAAGTCTCATCTGTACAATGTATCTATCTTGGGTGTCGTTACCAGGAGCTATATTCCAACCTAAGCAAATGTCCGGCAAGGGTACCTATATCTGGTTAGCATCACAACCTAGAGGTAGGCTTGTTTCGTGGCGTACCCATCACCGTATGACTGGTCCTGCTCCAAATCATATCGCTTGTGTCCCGAAACCCCGGTGCTGTGCAGGCCGCTGGGAAGCGGAGGCATACCACCAGGACCTAGTACATCCTTTGCAAGCCCAGTGTTCTTCTCAAACGCAACAGCGAGTCCTTTCGCACCCTGCTCTTGGGCAGCAATCAAAGACTTGGAGCCCGCCTCCCCAATCAATTCCTGCTTGGGGGCTGCTGCGCTTCCAACTTCAAGCAATGCAACTGCGTCGGCCTGGGTGACGGTCGAGAGCCTAGGGTAACGTCGTCGCACATCGCGCTTCCAGTATGGGTTCTCGGCGATATCGGCAGCAGGAACAGTAACGGGATCGTCGTAGGCCATGGGATCGTTTGCGCCGGGAGGTGGGTTACGGAACTGCGGGTTCATTGGGATACCCGTGGAACGCTTGGGGTCGATCGCGAAGAGCCTGTTGATAGCTGCATAGATTCCGGTAGGCTGGACAGTATATTTCTACATGGGCATCATCAGCGTGATGCCTTCAATTGCAATTACAATAGAAGGTGGAGGGGCGTGAGGGCGAGGGTATGCTGCTATGGGACTGGGCGAGCCGTA